TAACAGTAGTAGTAATTAACAGCACCAACAGTTATATATAATAACTTCTTCCACTATTAATTAGTAGCGATAGTAGTGGTAACAGTAGCAATAATTGCACTTATAATAATAATAATAATAATAATAACGGTAATGATATACTACTATTATAAATAATAACTAATGGTAATGATAATTGTAAAAATAAGAGTCATAGCAGCAGCGGTAAGTAGCATTGGTAGTACAGGTTGGAGCAGCAAGAACAGCCAGCAACAACGACATCAGTAGTTGATTATTGATAATAATAACAATGATAATGATGTAATGATAGGAGTAATAAAAATAATAGCAGAAGTAGTAGTAGCAGTAACAATAACAAATATAATAACAATAGAAATAGTAGCTATGATAATACCAAAAGCACTTACGGATTTAGTACTAATGAGAATTACAATAATAACGATTGCAGTAGTAGCAAAAACAGTAGTAGTAATAGTGGTAACACTATCGTTAATACTATTATCACATTAAATAATATTGCCGCTATTACTAACATTGTCAACGGCACTACTACTGTTACAGCTGATATTACTAAGACTATAAATAACACATTTACAAGCACTGTTTACACCCGACCACCGATACAACTATTCCATTACTACTATTATTATTATTATTGTTGTTGCTGCTACTACAAATACCACTCTCGTTATTAATTTTATTACAATCACTGTCATTTTAGTATCTCCTTAGACAAACGCCCACTAACATTGTTATTAGATACTCGTCAAACAAATTATTATCGTCATGACTATTGTTGTTATTGTTACTAGTAGTATCATCATTATTATTATCGTTATCGTTATCGTTATCGTTATAATTATCGTTATCGTTATCATTACTACTACAACTACTGCTGCTGCTACTGCTACTGCTACTGCTATTTCTACTGCTACTGCTACTGCTACTGCTACTGCTACTGGTACTGGTACTGGTACTGGTACTGGTACTGGTACTGGTACTGGTACTGGTATTGGTACTTGTATTCGTACTGGTACTTGTACTTATACTGATACTGATACTGGTACTAGTACTGGTACTGGTACTGGTACTGGTATTGGTACTTGTATTCGTACTGGTACTTGTACTTATACTGATACTGATACTGGTACTAGTACTGGTACTGGTACTGGTACTGGTACTGGTACTGGTACTGGTACTGGTACTGGTACTGGTACTGGTACTGGTACTGGTATTGGTACTTGTATTCGTACTGGTACTTGTACTTATACTGATACTGATACTGGTACTAGTACTGGTACTGGTACTGGTATTGGTACGGTAGTGATACTGGTACTTGTACTTGTGCTGGTACTGGTACTGGTACTGGTACTGGTACTGGTACTGGTACTGGTACTGGCACTGGCACTGGCACTGGCACTGGCACTGGCACTGGCACTGGCACTGGCACTGGCACTGGCACTGGTACTGGTACTGGTACTGGTACTGGTACTGGTACTGGTACTGGTACTAGTACTAGTATTGGTACTGGTACTGGTACTGGTACTAGGTACTAGGTACTTGTACTTGTACTGATACTGATACTGATACTGGTACTGGTACTGATACTGGTACACTACTACTACAACTACTACTACCATTATTATTACTACTACTACAACTACTACTACTATTACTACTACTACTACTACTACTACTACTTATTATTATTATTATTATTATTAATTTTATTAGTATTTTTATTATTTTTATTATTTTTATTACGTGCACTATTATTGTTATAATTCAATGGTTCCATGGAACCTGAGATATCTGAATAGAAGCTTATCATGAACTAATTTCGATGAGTTACACAGGCAGCTTTTCACAAGCATTAGAATATAAATTTCATAAATTATATTACCGAGACACCTGAAATCCACTCTACTTATATAGAGACTTCGGTGAAGGACTTATTTAGAAATAAACAAAAGAAAGGGCTTATTTATCTAAGAATATAAATTGCAGAACAATATATTTCTGTTTAAATATAGTTAGTCTTCAGGTATAATCAGAGTAAATATAGTGTCGAAGAAACGAACTAAGGAAAATGCATTTTTAAGTTTTAATAGACCCTTACAAAGATTTCAGATTTCTTTTCTAACTACTCGCATTGGAATAACATAGTACCAACTCACGTTGCACTCGGTGGAAGTCTTTTGGGACAGCGACACGAAGCGCCAATACTTTTTTTCTTTTAATTTTTTTTGTTTTTTTTGTTTTTTTTGTTTTTTTGTTTTTTTAGACAAATACGTGATATAATGTATATTTAAAGTTGTATAATTTACTTATTTAGCTTTTGTGAGCTTTCTAACAAGTTGTTTAGTAAGTGAATACTATTACACTAACATTATTAGCAGTGATATTAAAAAGTAGACAAAATATTAATAAGCGTCCTTCAAAATATTACAAAATGGGCATTGTTAGGTGTACATCCTTCTTCGATAAATTTCACCTGTTTTTTTAGTAATGTCATATAAAGTTAGATTGTTAAATGTAATTTCTTCGAAGGATACTTTGAAGAGAATAATTAAGATCTGAATAAAACGCATTGAGTAATAAAAACGACATTGCTTCTGGTGTAATATAAACGTGTAAGCTTTTTACTATATATAAAAAAAAAATTTAATGTTTATGACTGAATAAACTTGTCAGTCTATATAATACAATCTTTGTCCATACAGCATTTGCTTTTATTACCAACGTCAATTATTAATTGGTAAAAAACGTTTTTTAGTACCGACTTTCTTTGGTTTCCAAACTTACTACTGGGAATTTTTTATATTTTAAGTACTTTTCTATCTACTTACACATCTATCAATAATTTCCCATCTACTGAAGATTATACATAAATTTATTACATCCTACAACTTTTTGAATAATTGTGGAAATTCTAACATATATGTTTTTCAAACTTTTGATTTTAAAGAAGTAACCTTTTAAATTTCAGATAGTCCCAAAACGAAATTTACCAAACCTTTTTGATCCCTTCATTTATTTACAAATATATAGTAACCTAATTTTTTCTGATTTAAGAAAAACAGTTTGATTTGTGTGTCGAACGTTAATGGCTCAAATTTCCATGGTAATCTTTACGTATCAATAAAAACGTAGAATACAAAAAATGATCAAAACTTTGAATACTCAAATGATAAGAAGCCCTGAAAAGTAACAACCCTAGAAAATCTATCGAATTTCACACCAGTATTTGAGAAATGCATCGGCACTTGACATAGATAGAGATTAAAGTTTTATGCTCACATGCTTTTTTTTGCGAACCCGCAAGATCTGTTTTATCTGCATGGCAGATTGTAAAAAGGAGCTTCAGTCTTGTCAATTGAACAAGACTGCAGGTCTGAGGGCGTAATGATGTACTTCAAAATATCAGGAAAAAAATATTGTGCAATGAATAAACACTTTTTTCTCATCGGTATGGTTATCAGTCCATTCAGGTACTTTGACGTTGAAATCATACACATACACGCACACATGCACGCACCGTACAAGCAAACGCATATACACATATGCATGTATGCACAAGATGCCGCACAAATCGTCCATGTACACACACGCACGCAACGGAGGGGGAGGAGGCGATGAGACTTCATAAGGCGTCGCCTATAGACCTCAATTCTACATCTCATTTTCACCCCTCTTGTATCATCAAACCTCCCTCCCAATGGTCCAATCAGAAATGTACACTATCGTCAACGTCTTACTTTGTTTTCCTTGATTAATCTATCGAATTTTCGAGGTTATATCTTCTTGTTTTTTTTTTCTTTTTTTCTTTTAAATTAATTCATAGTGACGTAGAACATTACCATTTTCAACAATAGATAATGAAATCCATTTGCAGATAAAGTAAAATAATCAAATAGGACTCGTATTAGTCCTAAACGCAATATTTGTTATGTATTATACATATAATATATACTATTGGAAGCTGGTATGTTGGCAGACGAGTGTTATTGAGCATAGTGTAGCCACACACATAAAGACGGCACATACGCATGTCCATTATTGGTTGAACAGTTACAATTACTCCCCGATAACTGCCACGCATTCAGATTCAGGCTGTTGGATACAGTAAAAATTGTATACATGGCCGAATTGACCTACGGAATAAATACTCTGTGTTCATCCCCACCACTGAGAGGAGATTCCTCTTGACACACCACAAAGTTTGGCAGCCGAGAAGGACCTTCCCTCTTACTTGTCCGTCCTTTTCTACGTTCGACAGTCGATTCGAGCTATTTCTATAATTAGAATGCCAGGCTTGGGGTCCTAAATTCTCGGGTATATATCTAACTTTTACTGTATCAACTTAACGTATCAACGCGACATTAGTAGGATTTTCATATTCTTTGCAGATATTTAAATCCTACTATTATGTAAGCGTGTGCCATATCTGGGGGCTTCGAGACCGTCTAAGGCAGAGCTGCAGAACATCTGGCAGGTTTCATAGCCACGTAGTATAATTGCAATAACTCCGACGTCCCTGTTCGTTAGCCACTTCCCACGCCCCGTTCCGTTCCGTTTTACGTGGCGGCATAAACAAAATACAATCAATATACGGATCGAATGTTAGTTTCACTACCGCTCATCGAAGGCTGCCCCACTATCACTTTAGACGAAAATGAGAACTTCCACGATGAGCTATTAATGCTACGAACGAAGGAAATGGAATAAACGTGATAGTCAAACATGGCTACTGGGGCTGCCAGTTATACAGCTCTGTTCGAAGGTATGGACGGGCGGAGCAAGCCTTGTAACTCTTTTTGCCCATGTGCTAACCCGTCAGCTAGCTTTCAATAGTATATGGTACTAAGCTGTCGTATGTTATACGCGAAGTTATTATTATAACTTTGTTCATTCTTCGAAAGTACCTGCGCAGTACTAGTAAAAATGACTACCACCGTTGTGATTTAATATTTTTGTTTTTTTTTTGTTTTTTTTTTTTCCTTTCGATGACACAACAAAAACTATGTAGTAAACGTAAGCTCGTTACCATTTCGCTTTTTCTAGTTACGTGAGAAATTCAATTACATTACGTATAATTATTTCTCATCTTATACAACCAACAATTGAAAAAGCTAGTAACATTGTATAATAATTGTACTATATTTCACTGTACCGATTGGATTTAAGCTGTAACGCACCTAAGAATAATCTTTGTTACATGCTGATAACATTTTAATTACATTATATTGAAGAATAAATAGATGAAAAAAAAAAAAGAATTCAAATTGTTCTAACAAAATAAATTTTCCGTCACTAAGTAATTATCAAAACCTTTGGCTCGAAAATTCGAAACATTCTTCGCGAAAAGAAACTTTGATTCTCAATTTCAAGTTAAAATTTCACATATGTATGAACTTTTTTTTTTTGAGTATGATCTCTTACGTATATCAACCAATGGGAAGTGGTATATTTCTCCTCAATATCAATCACTTTACAAAGAATAGAGAGAGATAGAGACAGACACACAGATAGGCAGGCAGACAAAGATAGCTAGAGAAAAAACATCGAATTGCCATTTTCGTTATAACTCTATAATTAGTAAATGGTAAAGAGACACGCTGGACATTGGCACGACAGGTGGCATTTAGATTTAATATAGAATAAAATTTACGTTATTGCGATAACATTTGGTATCGTTTTTGTTGTCGTCGCAAGAACTCGGACCCCGATATACTACCCCTTTAAAGGTTTCTGGGCATTTGTCGATGAAGAATCGATTTTTAGTCGAATCAAATAGCTTTTAAAAATTTTCATCGGGACTCGAACAATACAGTCGAACACAGTAATGAATGGTAATTAATGTTTCGTATCGTAAAAATTAACGATAACAATAGTAATCAATTAATACAACATAAATTAACGATTACTATTTAAATTAATATTTAAATCGTTGTTGTCAAACTGAATACAATTTCATCAACAAACGTTCAAGCCATTAATAGTTACGATAACATATAACAATAACTACTATTCGCGTTGTTTCTGGTATTCTTAGTAGCAATAATTATCTAAGGGGTTCTTGCTATCATTACGTTTAAACTGATTAAAATTCTACTAAAAAGTCGATTCTCTATCTCCGGTGCTAATGGAAGAGGTAGGTATAGCCCGTAGCATCGACGCGGTCCTCGCTTAGTTTCCTTAAGAGGTCTTTCATTCTTCTTATTTCTTCCTCTCTTTTTTCTTTTTTTTGTTTCATTTATATCTTATTCCTTTTTGTCACTTTTTCTGTTTTGATTAGATTGGTACAGTCTACGTTTGATATATAATACGCATTGCAGTCTCGATTAAAGAAAACTGTTCAGAGCAAAAAAGTGGAACACTCGTGAGACCATCAATCATAATTTATACTTTCTTACACGCGCATTATTAAGAAAGGGTTGGCAGCGTCACATTTAAAAGCAGCCGACGTTTTATTTCTTTTCTTTTCTTTTCTTTTCTTTTTTTTTTTTTTTTTTTTTGTCACAGCTAATGGCTGCGGTGTATACGCATAGTTTTTTTACTTTTTCTATATCGTTTGTGCTTCAATTCCCAGAATACACAACAGGAGTTGAAATTTATATTATTTTAATTAAACTGTTTGCACATCGATGTTTTAATATTGATCACGTGCGCGCGCACTTTCTACGTTATATATTACCATAATTGAAGCAAAATTGTAATGCACACTGATGCAATACTCGAAAATCAGAGTACACGGTCACGAGTGACATTTGTAAATACAAAATTTTCCACGCATCGTAAATTTGAAACGTTAAAAAGGACAATGCGCATACAACATTGTATCAGTTATATTAATTTACGAATCAAAATATAGGTAATATGAGTTTGTTAAATACAACGCGTATATAAAAAATACACATTAATGACATTAATTCCATTACTAGATTAAAACAACAACAGATACTAAATATTGAAAAATACAACACAGTACTCGTTTCAAGATGAACGTTCACTAGCATATTACAGCATACATGTTTGATTATTGAACATTTCGTTATAGAAATGATGCGCGCGCAGTAATAAATAAGAATTAAGGAATATTAAAACATCGAAGAATTGTAGCATACTGAATTACGAACTTAAACAATGAAACATACTAATAATACATGTTTGTTGAATAAACGGAATATTAGCAAAGAATATCATTGAGACATATATTAATAAAAACGCGACCTGCACAGGAAGAATAATACTAATTCAATAATTAAAACTTCATGAAATGTGTCTATCGAAAATGATACGTATGTGCACTAGCTATGTACATATACGCGCATATTGACGGATGTAATTAGTATTATCTTAAAATACCGAAACACCAAAAAGTTGCAACATAAGCAATATAATGATAATACTAATTGAAGGTTTAAAACAACATAGTACGCGGTCATCACATAGTACGCGCAGTAATAACAACATTTTTACGCGCGTCGTTAAATGTAGTCGGTTACTACCCTAAACCGTCGAGAAAACACGGCGCACACCGAAAGCCTTAAAATTCATAACCATACTCCCTCCCTCATAAATTCATTCGTTGAAAAGAAATCAAATTAGATCCCTGTTACAGCCGGAATTACGCGTCGTATTTGGGTGTACACATACGCGACACTGATTTAAGTAACTTATATTCGTGAGAACCGGCCCGCCTGACAATGCGCAATATAATTGACGTATCGTGAAGAATGCTTGGTCGTCGCACGAGTGATACCGCTCCTCCATGCGGCACTCTACATCGACTCACCTCCCAGAAGATCTCCGGGTAAGTACGAGTTCAGAGAACTGGGCGTAGTGCGTTGTTGATCGTTGCTGTCGATGCCAGCGTTGCTCCAAAGAGAATTACTACTCGGTGGAGCACCCCATAATTGACTGGAACTGCCACCCCATGTGTCGGGTGGTGGACCAGTTTTGTTCGATGGTCGCAAACCCCAACCTGCTCCAGCTGTCGCTCCTGCTTGCTGTTGACCTCCATGACTTAGTTGTTGCAGCAGAGTGTGTACCTCGCTGTCGGCTGGCGATTCTGCGAAAATTGTTGTGTTGCCCAAGACGCAATTATTCAGAGCACCTTGTGCCTGGAACATAAGAAAAATTTCTCTTAGTAACTGTTTTCCTCGTAACACTTTCACATTAAACGTGATTAAAATGATTTACTGCCAAAAGTCAATTTATTCTATAAATATAGAGGGTGTTCGGCCAACCCTGGGAAAAATTTTAATGGGGAATTCTAGAGGCTAACATAAGACGAAAATCAAGAATACCAATTTGTTGATTGAGGCTTCTTTAAGAAGTTATTAACGTTCAAAGTTTCGCCTGTAGAGCGGCAACCTGCGAACAGCTACGTGCACATGATAGTGGTGCTGCTCACTCACTGACGTATCGACAGCCTTATTACAGTTTTCTGAGTGAGAGCCACTATCGTGCGTGCGTAGCTATTCTAAGTTGCCGTTCTACAGGCGGAACTTTAAACTTTAATAACTTTCCAACGAAGCCTCAATCAACAAATTGCTATTCTTGATTTTCGTCTTATTTTGGCCTCTAGAATATTCCATTAAAATTTTTCCCAGGGGTGACCGACTACCTTGTATACTAGCAGTGTGAGAAAATTTTATGAACACTCCAAACATACTTCTTACATTCAATTAGCGCATATTAGAAATATTTTTTTCAGTTTCTTGAAATGCAGTCTATCTATTGAGCTACTATTACTGTTTTTACATTATATATACTTGCGTGTGAACGATATCCGCTCCAAATTTAGTTTTGTTATAATATTTTCTAGTATGTTTATTAGTGTCCTCAATCTTTACAAAATTATGTCTTGAACTTAAACGAAAAACTTTCCTGGCAGGTTTACGTTTATAAATACTTAAGATGATATTATCTGACTTATACAACTGTGTGAAGAAATGATCCATGTTATTTTTATTTTGTTTTACTATTTTTGACAGTTCCCCCTTATTTATAGATACAGTCCCACCTAGAATTGTTTTCTTGACTAGTAATTTTGTCATAAGTGGCATACTTGTAAAAAATTATCAATGGTTATGGTTTCAGTTAGTCGTGGGTTAGTCCACTTTAGTTTATTCAAGAAAATGTTCAGAGATTCATACCCATTTCTTACACGATACCAGAAATAATAAACTGTATGACAATCATTTATATAATTTTCCGGCATTATAATTGAAACAATATAAAACAAACTGCGTAGATATGCTAAGAATAAATGGGACATGTGTTTCGAAGAAAATGAAGAAAACTAAATTGAACAAATGTGAAATAATCGGCCAATATGCAGGTTTAGTTGGTATTACAAAATGGTGTAATAAAAGATGCGTTATTTTTGTATCCACATTTCATAATAAAGATTTGAAAACAAAAAGAATAGAGAATACTATTTGTGTCTTAAATTGTAATAGGTAATCTCAGATAGTTGATCGCAAAGATCAATTCCTTCAACCTTTAAGTCAATTACAATTCAGAATGGCGCGGGTAGAAGAAACATTTCTCAAGTTCCGTGAAGTAAATACGAAGTAGAACAGAACAACAAAAAATCAATACAATACCTCGTTTAACAGAACGACATTTTATTCGAAAAGATGCACCGATGGGGACAAAATCAAATCTGCAAAGACGTTGTAGTCTGTACAAAAGGAGGTAAAAAGAAAGACTTAAGATATTGTGAAAAGAATGACGTGGAACTGTATGAATGGTTGAGAGGTATCTGGGTGTAACGCTGATTTTTCAATTGGCTTTAGCTTAAGAAACTGAAGATATTGGTAGCCGGTTTTGGGAACCTATGATTAATAACTTATTAGATAGGTAAATTAAAAATACTAAACCTTAATAGCCTCGTCTCTTGACGAATACTTGGTTAATGCAATTCCATGATTAAGGTATAAGCGGAAGTCCTGAACAGGACCGTGCTGCATACAAAGAGTTTTTAACGTAGAACCATCGATCTGAGGCGTCAGATTCTTGAGTAGTAACCAAGTGGAAACCCAGCCAGCATTTGTGCTTGATTGAAAACCCCAAGAACTGGACGATCTGCCGACAGTGCCAAAACCTGCCCAGCCGTTGCTCGTATTTCCTGTGGCTTTGCTACTTAGACCTGGCGGTGGACCACGAACTTTGCTCATCGGTGCTCCCCAGAGTTCCGAAGTGACTGCAGTCGGTGGCGGAGCAGATTCACCCCAAGTATTTTTTGAGCTGAAATCAATTTTCACCACTTTTTAAATCAGTTTCAGACACGATAGAAATAATTTGTTTTAATCTTTTCAGAAATTTAAATTTTAAAAGGAACCTCAAGAAAGAATGTATATTATTTCATCAGTTTCTTTAGTTTTTCTTTTGTGGAATTGATCAATTTGGTAAATGAACAGTTCAATTGTGGAACACAATATTATAATATCAATTGATTAAACAATGCATGGAGGCACGATTTTGATCTTATTTATTATACATTGACCGTGTATATTTATCGATCGTATTTATACGCACACGATATAAAAAATTAACATAACAGAGTTTCTAAAAATTCTGTTTACAAGTCTTTCTGAGTTTCACTATTTTGACAAATTTATTTCAACGAAGAAACAATTATAGGACATTATTTCAGTAAAAATGAACGACTATGAATACTTGTGCAGTTGACATTAAAAGAAATTTACCTCGTGAACAATGCACTCGGCGTAGTGGCGGGTGGATTAAATGTCCATGTAGAATTACTCAAACTTGGTATCGACGTATCAAGATTGGTAGGTTGTTGCGGCGGCGGTGAAGTTTTGCTACTTAAAGAAAAAATGGCATCCGGATCTTTGATCGTTGCTATAGACAGTGGTGAACGGACCACAGAACCGGGAGTAATGCTTGGATCATCCTCGATGCTCTTCATCTGGGTACCCTAAAATAAAATGAAATATAGGTGGACCCGAATAAATTTCAGTTTTCGAGATCTTTACTCAAGTAAACTACGAGTCGTTTAAGATTCTCCAATTGATTCGATGATAAAAGAAAAATAACAAAATGGAATTTTGTTAACAATCGTATACTATACAGGGTGTTCGACCACACCTGGGCAAAACTTTAATGGGCGATTGTGGAGGTCAAAATAAGACGAAAATCAAAAATACCAATTTGTTGATGGAGGTTTTGTTAAAAACTTATTAACATTTAAAGTTCCGCCAGTACTGAATTTTTTTCTCGAAAATGCGCAAGATTTCGGGGGTATGTCTATTCACCAAAAATGATTGTAATTGACCCCCGCAACCGAAAATAATTTTTCCAGAACGATTTGAAATTTTTTTTTTCGCCGAAAAATTTAGGCACCCAATTTTCGGTAAGGAATTTTTTTTCTCGAAAGCGCGTAGGATTTCGGGGGTATGTGTAATGGTAAAAAATGATTGTAATTGACCCCCGCAACCGAAAATAATTTTTCCAGAACGACTTGAAATTTTTGAATTTAATTGTTAATAACTTTTTAACGAAGCCTCAATCAACAAATTGCTATTCTTGATTTTCGTCTTATTTTGGCCTCTAGAATCTCCCATTAAAATCTTTCCCAGGGGTGGCCGAACACCCTGTATATCTTATTCTGAGGAACTACTATCGGAAGTGCAATGAAGCGTAGATGAAGCTACCAAGATGTAGTTAAAATAAAAAACTCTGCTAATTTCTTTAAAAAATGAAATTTACGAACATCTAAAAATACTTCAGGACATCTCGATTCACTTTTGTTTAATATAAACTCTTATTTAGCGGAGCACTGGTTTCAAAAATATTTTAAACGTCATTTTGAGGTGTCTGAAAAGAAAGATTAAGAATCACCGTTCTAGATTATGTCAGATGCATTTATAATTTATTAAATTTTCCTAAATTAAAACGTTAAAAGGTGGCCCTTTAAAGAATCTAACGATTCATTATATATTTATATTTTGTTACATTTATTAATATTATAGGCATATGTTTAAAATACATGTGTGTCTGTATTTTAAACATTATTATATTATACACAATTTTCATTTACTTCTTCAATCGTTGCTATTTAATACAATTTCTGATAAGATACTTATAGAATCTATCCAATCGAAACTCAATTTTATTTGAATGTTAGAATCTATACCATATAAATAATACGGTCTTATGCTTGTTAATTTAAAAACTTTGATCCACTGATTAGTCTCTTCAAGGAATTAAGTATAAATGCCTTCAAATCTTGAATTTTGGGCCTCTTAACAATACATAAAAGTTTATTTAGAACAACTTAATAATAAATACTAATTATTTTGATTTCAATTTTGAGAACAGAAGGGACTATGAAGCATTATTTAATAATTGCTTATCTTGAACCATTTTTAAGGATTGTTGAATAGTCACACTGTTAGTTAAATTTGCATGATCACGTAATTTTTTTTGTTGCAAACAAACCATTATTATCGTGATTGTTAAAATATTTATATACAAATAATACTTTAGGCTCGTTTAAATTTGTATATACAATAATTCTCGTGTTACCTATTCATATTATAATCCCGACGAATTAAAATTAGGACACAAGAACTTTTCTTAAAAATATCCTTTTGTTTTATGTCGGTACAATATACTAATTGCAAAAGCCACATTTTTATTTTCTCACTTACAAAACTGTAAGGCTGTCGATACATCGGTAAGTAAAGTTTCTCATGCTGAATGAGAACCACTAGGACCAACCTGTCGCGAGCTATCGCGCGCACGCAGCTGTTCGTAGATTGCTGTTCTACAGGCAGAACTTTAAACGTTAATAACTTTTTAACGAAACCTCAATTAACAAATTAGTATTCTTGATTTTCGTCTTATTTTTGCCTCTAGAATCCCCCATTACCACTTTTGGCATAAAATTGCTAGTTTAAGAGATATTTTCATTTAATAACTGCAATATTTACATAAAAATATCTCCTAAACTGCAGTAAGACATTGAAGTACCAAATAAAAATTACTTGAGCTTAAAAAAATTGTTTTACCTTTTTTTTATGATTGTTTTACACAATAGGCATATGTTTATCGCGGGAACAATTTTAAAAATTCTTACAGCCAAAAATCGAAAATTGTAGAAATTCTGAAATAATTAAATATTATAATGGGTTATTTTTTTCTCCGCATTATTTTTATATTTTTACAAAAAACTGACTCCATTGTTGAGTTAAGATTTTCCTGAACCCACCGCTTCGCAACCAACATGTTAATGCGCCTGCCTCTTTGACTTTATTGTTGTTTAACTTTAAACAATCTGATACAATTTTATAATCATTAAAATGGCTGAATATCATCGATCGATTACATTTTATTGTTAAAAATTAACCCGTTGAAGACAACTATATACTTAGAAGTTGTCTTCCTACAGTATGTAACGATATTGGAAATGGATTACCTTCCATGGCTTGCCGGGCTCAAATTCAGGTACAAGATCAGTAAAAGCAGCTGCACCAGTTGGCTGCCAATCCTTTCCATCAGTAGAATCCGTATTACCTGGATCTGACCATCCACTGTCTCCGAGTCTGGTCGACCATGTACCATCTCCTTGACCCAACAAAGGATTCATGTTAGGACTACTGTGTGATTGTGTCAAACCAGCCGATGTTGCTGCTGGCTTACTAGTTGTTCCTGGCGCTCTCGAGAACTCATTCGAAACTAACTCCCCGTCCTTGTCCAATGACGGTAACTTCCACTGGTTCAGTCTTGATTGTTGCTGACTCTGTAACAACGAATAACAATTATCATTTCAGCATCCATTTGAATTTAGACAATAATGTGAGTATTGAGTCATCCCGTAGAATAAAATTGACATCGACAATCTACAAGTCTTGAAAAGAAATAACCGCGGAAGAAAATTTGAAAGAAATTAAAAGAGATATCGAGGTATTCCCACTTTAACCCATAATGTGTATATTATGTAATATAATAGATTAATATATGAAAAAGTTACTCACGATAGGAGGTTCCTTGTTCATTGTCAATTCTGTAAAGCTATTTTGCAGTGCTGACATGGGATCATGCACAGAACTCTTATAATATTCCGAGCTCTGGGACGGTGGCACAGGATGTTGTTGCTGTTGCTGTTGTTGTTGCTGTTGTTGTTGCTGCTTCATGAAAGTAGCTTGTTGCACAGCGATTTGATTTTGTAAATTTGCTATTTGCTGCTTCGTCTTTGTAATTTGTACACTAATCTGCAGAACCGATTGGCCATTACCCTTCATTGTACTTTGCATTGAATGCTGTTGATGAAGTTGCTGCAGAACTTTTATCTGTTGCAATAACTGGTTCAGAAGTACTAAAGTTTGAGGCGCAAGTGCTTGATTTAGAATTTGATGATTTAAATAACCTTCTTGGACGGCTAACTGAATTTGTTGCACTAACATACGCAGCTGTTGGGTACTCGGTTGATTTTGAGGAGTTCTAGAAGCCTGGAACAAACAAAGAATTAAACACGTTTGAACAACTGAAATAAATTGTATTAGGACCTTGAATAAGTTCTCGCTGTTTCTTTTACAAAATAAAAGCTTTATTTAAATTATAAGGAACAAAAACATTTCATTGAAAGTATTGCCCATCACTAGCGACCACTTTCTCCCATCTTTCTGGCAGTATATGAATTCCGCGTCGGAAAAACGACATGTCTTTTGAGGCTATCCAAGAATCGATCCATTTTTTAGCTTCTTCATAAGAATGAAAGCTCTGGTCAGCTAGGCCACGTGCCATCGAACGGAATAGGTGAAAATCAGAAGGGGCTAGGTCAGGTGAATACGGCGGGTGGGGTAGAACTTCCCATTGAAGCGTTTCCAGGTAGGTTTTCACTGGTTTTGCAACATGAGGCCGAGCGTTGTCATGTAGCAAAATCACTTTGTCGTGTCTCTGCTCGTATAGCGGCCGTTTTTCTTTTAAGGCTCGACTTAAACGCATCAATTGAAGTCGATAGCGATCCCCCGTGATAGTCTCATTCGGTTTGAGCAGCTCATAATAAATTACACCCTGCTGATCCCACCAAATACAGAGAAGAAGCTTCGAACCATGGATATTTGGTTTTGCAGACGATGTTGATGCATGGCCGGGCTTACCCCACGATTTTCTACGCTTTGGATTATCGTAGTGTATCCACTTTTCATCGCCAGTCACGATGCGGTGCAAAAAACCTTTTCTTTTCTGACGTTGAAGCAGTAATTCACACGTGAGAAAACGCCGTTCGACATCTCTCGGCTTCAATTCATACGGTACCCAATGTCCTTGCTTCTGGATCATTCCTAAAACTTTTAAACGTTTTGAAACAGTTGACTCATCTACTTGTAATGTTTTTCCAAGTTCTGCTAGCGTCTGACATCGGTCTTGATCGAGTAATTCCTCCAACTTTTCGCCTTCAAATTTTTTCGGTGCGCCAGAACGTTCTTTATCCTCAAGTTCAAAATCATTATTTTTGAAGCGTCGAAACCTGTCTCTAAATGTCGTATCCGACAAAGCATTGTCACCATAAGTCTCAACAAGAATTCTATGTGCTTCAGCTGCAGATTTCTTTTGAATAAAGTAGTGCAATAAAATTCCCCGCAAATACACTTTATTTGGCACAAAAGTAGACATTTTCAGAACTAAAAAAAATTACTTTGTTTACACTAAAGTGAACTACCATACACTGAAATTTAATGTTAGATACACTACTGCCTTACATGTGTGTTACCATTCAAAATTCCACGAACGGGGTACTGCTACTGCCATCTTTGAAGAAACAGCGAGAACTTATTCAAGGTCCTAATAACTTCTACATCTTTGAAGAGAAGTTAAATTACAAAAGCACATAATTATAAATACTTTTGCTAAGAATTATTAAATTTTGTCACGGCACTGATATAAGCAAATTTCAATTTTATTACATTCTTCCAGATACTAATAGAAAACAATTTTTCCTTTTGGCATGTACAACGAGAAATAATTGTCCAATTTCCCGAATGTTTGTAACAATTAACATTCCTTTTTACTCTGGATTATGTAAAAGACTTTAAATTAAGTTTTAATATAATGTTAATAGGATAGAATGGCATTAATAGTTGGGTCGAAGAAAACTAGAGAATGATCGCATATAATATGTGTAATGGACAATTAAGTAAAATTTTATCAAACTAAAATCGGTGGTAGTAGGATTTACCTGATTGAATGGTGGCTGAGGTGCATTACTACTAGGCTGTTGTTGTTGTTGTAAAGGCACAGCAGCTTGTTGTTGTTGTTGTTGTTGCAGCTTTAACAAACTTGCACTAGCAACCGATCCACCAACACTGCTGGTTGTATTTCCACTTGCCACTCCAGCACCCTGCAATTACAAATTAATTCATACATTCACATAATACACTTTTTATTATTAACATTGTCAAAAAAGATTCGTTAACTAATATAATAATTACAAAATCCGTGATAGCAACTTTTATTTAATGTTCATACTGATAAACTTAGTTAACTGCAATAAATATATATGAGATATTTCGACAACAAGAATTGTATAATTCCTTGCCAAAAAAGAACATAAAAATCTGCATTTTACAGTAGAATATACCCTTAAATAAATGTGCAATAAAGAATATCCAAAAATATGATAACTATCTTACCGGGGGGAAAGACATCTGCTGTGCGACGTGATTAAATCTAGGATATGCTGGCGCAGTTGTTGCTTGATTAGTTGGATCATATGTGGAGTGTGCTTCGTGTCTTCTCCATTGGTCTAAAGGCCGCAACTGACTCAGAAGTTCCAAAGCTTCTTCTCTATTCATTTCACGATTCCTCAGTGCGAATTCGACATCATCTTTCTGTAAGCAAAAAAGACAATCGCTAAATATTATGAATTCGGACATTATATTAATTATTTAAAATGAATATTAGACGCTAAACTGCACTTTTTCATAATACATGGTAATTGGTTAAATAGTTTTAACTATGCATTACCACCAATTAACATTATAATTTATTCTAACCGAAATAAATAATTTCATCTATTTTTACTTACTTTAAATCCTAAATCACAGAGATACCGAAATTCCCTGCTATTCCATATAACTTCCTTTGTAAGAGTAGGTTTAGTGGGGTGAGCCCAACTAGGAGAATGATCCATATCGGTATCAACCCAGCTTCCAGCAGGTCCCATCGGTTTGGGTTTGTGCGCACTGGGCCCACCCCAAGTGCCAGGATTTAACTGTGCTTCGTTCCAGGTACTTGGTGTCTTTGGATCATCCCATGAACCTGTGTCGTGTGGTCCTTCAACCCAGCTACCATTTCGCCCTCCAGGAGCACCAGGATGACCCCACATTGGTCCACTAACATCTGGTTTCATTCCAGGTTGGCCTGGCATTCTGTTCTGCGGCATACCTGGAGGACACTGCATTCCTACAAAAGTAAATTCATCACTAATTAATTATACTCCAAACTCTTGCTAACCTAGTTTATTTATAATGATTAAATTAAATTCTGCACAAGAAAACAATAAAAAACATGCAATGTTCGACCACCTCTGGGAAAAATTTTAATGGGAGATTCTAGACGCCAAAATAAGACGAAAATCTCATCAACCTGCAAACTGCTACGCGACATCCTTACAATCTTCTGAATGAGAACCACTATCACGCGTGCGCAGCTGCTCGCAGATTGCCGTTTTACAAGCGGAACTTTAAACGTTAATAACTCCTTAACGAAGCCTCTATCAACAAATTGGTATTCTTGATTTTCGTCTTATTTTGGCCTCCAGAATCTTCCAAGTAATTTAGAATTAAATTCAGAAAATAAGATATAAATAGAGATTTTTTATATTTTCTTGCTAGAAATTAAAACTAAAATAAATACAGGAACAATAAACACACCTCCTCTTCCGACATTTGGTGTCGGAAGATCCTTCCAATGACAAACTTTACTTCCGGGTATTGTTCTTTGATTGGCTGCAGCATTCCCCCATAAACTTGTGCCGTCGTCGTAATTCGGAACATTTCTTCTTTGTGTCGGCGGGGAAGGTTCTTCCCATCCTGAAGGTTTTCCTGGCATAATATCTTTTGGCGGCGGGGCAGCCCATTGATTTATACTGGAAGGATTCAACATCTTTGCCGGGGGACCTGAGGGATGTTGATGTCCCATTTGATGATGCGGAGGACCTGGTGGTTGACCCCACATGGCATCGGCGCTGGTGCCGTTCAATCGTCCAGAAATTCCTCTCGGGTCTCCGCGCATGTCCGCCATTCTGGGATCTCGAGCCATTGGATCCATTACGCGTATATGCTCTCGGGGATCCAAGGTCATTCTATGATCACGAGGATCTCGCATTTCTCTGGGGTCGACAGAACGAAGATCTCGAGGATCTCGATGGTCGATTCTTGGGTCACCCCAATTAGATCCTACGAAAACAAACATTCATACTTTTCATTATTAAGCACAGCTGACATATACCGAGGTGTTCGTTTGAAAACTTTGCATCTAAATATCTCGAAAACAAAGCGTTTTTTGGCAAAACTTTCTTAGTCTCAAGGAGGAAATATCCTATTTACCTTTCTAGCTATTCTGTTTACCTTTTTTCGTTGAGCGTTCTCAAGGTTATTTCAAGGTCAACTTCGTATTTTTAAGTAGTTGTATATATATATATAAAAAATATATATATAACTGAATAAAACTGAACAAATTTTTTAAAACCTGTCTACTAAAAAAAATTAAAATTAAATATATATATATACCTATTTACAGATTCTAACTTTATACGAAGAATTTTTTTTATTAGACTTTGGTTTTAAAAAATTTGTTCAGTTTTTCTACACTCAAAGTGAACGATGGAAAATTAAGCAATTAAACGGAATTTTTTAATGTAATGTAATTAAATAATGATAATCATACATATTTTTACCTGACTTTGCAATATGAAAAAAATCACACGATAGTTATACACAATCTTCATTTCGTGCTGAGCAATAATATAATTTGTTGTGAAGTACATTTTTCGCTTTTATTAAAATTTCTCTTTCGAATGTTTCTTAAGTTCTCAATACTTTCTGATCTTGGTTAAATATTACAGACTTTAAATGCTCTCGAGAAAAGAAAGAAAAAAAAGTTATAAAAGTTTTTATATTGGCAGTAGGAAATTTGAAGAAAGTTTCTATTTTATTAAATATCGTTTTACGATGGCATCTGATCAAAAAATGTCTCGTAAAAAAGTTTCTTCTTACTTCTCGTAGAATAAGAATCTGTAGTAAAAATATCGATTTCAATTTAAAAGAACAAAGTTAATCTTAAAATAACCTTGGAAATACTAAACAGATAACAAATAAATAGAACAGTTACTTTTCCCCTTTGAAATTGAACTAGATTTCTATTTAATAGTTTTCCTGAAAATGCGTTATTTACGAGATGTTTAGATATCAAGTTTTCGAACAATCTTATATGTAGAATTCTAAAACTACAGAAACTCACAATTTCCTTACTACCATATGCGTCTAATAATCGTTTGTAACGATTAAAATAGTATCTTTAAAATCAGTATAAACACATCAGTATAACACGGTACTACTGCAACATAATTTCATTCTAACACGGCTAAACAATTGAGAAACTCGCGCACACGTGGATTACTTTTTGTGAAATTGTTGTATAGAAAAGTTTTATTTCAGTATATCGAAACTGTAAATCCGAAAGAAGAGTCCCCATATTTTTCGTGTCTGTTAAAAATTTTAAAAACTTTATCAAAATTACGAAAGTCATTCGAATACTTATCAGTGGTACTGTAGGTATACGAATGGTCATAAATTGTCAGTGAAATCTGTACAATTAATTTGAAAGTGATTTTATTCGTTTACAATGTTTTGTGAAAAAGCAGTAACGACGAAAAGAATTGGAATTTCATTTAATAAATATATATACATAATAAATGTGTTGTAGCTTTATTAAATACGTCTACTATAATTACTAAAATAATCGTTCTATTGATCGTTGGGATCTACTTTTGTTCTTAGAGAAACTTTTTGAAAATCTTTCGTCTCGTAAAACACTAATTTTAGACGCGAAAAGAATCATTACAAACTTTGATTTTCACCAGTATGTAACTTTATTATCTCGTATTCAAGTATAATAAGAAAGAATAAACTTTGGCATATTCGGTAACAAAATAAGTTTTATGAAAGGCTTAACGTGAACATAAATATTGATACGCCTGAAATATTATGTTAAAAATTTTGTACTTGAACAGGACTTTTATTGCTTGAAATGAAATAATTTTTTACATTAACACTTCTTAGTTGATTAAACCTAAATTTCTAAAGTCAATGTTATCTGATATTAGAATTTATAACTGATTAAAAACTGAATATTTGTTGAAAAACATTTTTGTTGCCGAATTATCGAAACTGTCTGAAAAATCGTAGCGACAATTACGTACCACATCCTGTATCAGAGTTGGTCAAATTTTATTCACGAATAACGAATAAAAATTTTAGATTCAATCGTACAGCTAAGTTTCGTTTAAGTTTCATTCAAAACTTTATTCGTAAACTTAGAATTTATTAAAATACTTTTTAAACCGACAAGCTAGTGTTCACGAATGAATGTAAAATTCTTATTCGTTATCGACGAATAAAATGTTTCCAACATTGCATTGTATATCATAGTAATATTTGGCATTAAAAAAATGAAGCCTCTTCTAGACTACATGGTTGCGTTACGAGTTCGTGTACCAATTTTTCAATTTTTCTAAATAGTTGGATGCAGCTGAATAGTTAGTGAAACGAAATGCTTTGTTGTTACTTACAAGGAAATATATTGAACCCTCACACGCCGATTTTGTTGAAATTTATAGAAGACATAGATTTTGAAAAAATATTTAACACCTATTTTTTTTATCAATCGACATCCACTTTAAAAACTTAAATCATTTTTGCATATTTTTAAATCAAAAAAAAAAAATACAATTAATAGTAGTTTACATCGACATAGTTTACTTTATCAAATAAAGGAACATTGACCTGAAAGGTCTTAAAAATTTTGTGAAAAAATTCCCAAAAAAACATCATTTTGTTAAACTCCTAACTGAGCGTGACCCGTTAACGACATAGGGTTTTCACTTTAAATGAACCTTTTTGCAGATATATTCAACTTCTTTCAAATCATATTCGCCGTTTCACATATTAAATTTGCATTGTGGATGACTCAGAAGTGATTCATATGTAACTCAGAAACAATGAAAGCTAAAAAATTGAATACGCGCCAAATTGTAGCTACAGTTATCCTTTGCAAGTATGTTAAACATCAGTTTGTTTACATTAACTATCTCTGATTTATTGGTAATACAAAAAGGTGAAATTTGCACCACGTGATTTCCATAGTTTTTTATATCTCAAGGGAGACCCGTAAAGACATTCATTTCACTACAAATAATGAAATAAGGAAGACAATAAAGTCCTGGATCAAACTTTAAATAGAGATTATGTTGAGAAATAAAGAAACCATTTTGAAGCTAATGAATTGTACTTTCGTTCCCATGTTGTTTTTTTCAGTATTTTATTATCGTTCTCGAGATACACGTAAGTATGCATTTTCAGCCAACCCTCGTAATATAATGTTATTTTGTTTTATTTTGTTTTGTTGATTTTATTCGTAATTAGCGAGATAACACTTTAAACGTGACCAAATGATATTATCAGCGTTCGATAGCTTAACAAGACATTTGTAGAAAAATTTGATTTGCAAAAAAGTGAATTTGATCCATATAAGGTTTATCTGCAGAAACATTAATTTTGTAAATCTAGTTTTAAAAAAAATTTATTTCTGTAAGCAACATACGAAGCATTCAAATTTTTTAATTCATTATATTCACCATTTCAAAGTGGATAAACAACAATACATGTCGAGTATCTTTTCAACAACTACCTCTACCACAAATTTCATCAAAATCGGCGTGTACAGGTGTGGGTTAGGTCCCCTCGTTAATAGAATACAATCGTCTAAATTAACCAATTACGATTATATTTATTATTCACTAATATAGACAATTGTCAATCAACAGTAATTCTTAATGCAAATATTCAAACTAACAATACTTTATTTTCTCAGCGCGCTTATATTGTTCTTGTCAATCCACTCATGAAATTGAAATTCTTCGGGATTTTTTTCTATGTCGATGCAATTTTTCGCATACCTATAATAAAATGAAAGACAAATTTAGGGATAATTACTTTTCGTTCGATTTAAATATTTAATATTTAGTATCACTGTGTCAATAATAAATACTGTCATGTCATAAATATCATATATCATGTACGGGGTAACCCATTTCGATCGTTCCACGCGATTTTTCTGAAACTGATTATGTTTCAAAAAAAATGTCTCACATTTTTTAAAACATCCATGTTTTTTTTTAAATAAATTTCCTCGTTTGAATGTAACTCTCCTTTTGTTAACTGCTATGAAAGTTGCTATGGATACTGTAGCTGTTACATATAATCGACAACTTCAGATTGGCTTTGGTGGCCCAATTTTATGTAAATACATTGATTAAACATAATTATACAAATTTTCTAGTCTACGCAAGCCCTGCATATACTTTGCACGTGTGTATAATATCTTGCATATAGTTTGTATCTTCATTGCATATTGTAATTGCATCAATTTCCGCAAACTAATCATAACAGTCCTCGTGTAGTCACAGAAATAGTGGCTCCAGAGAATACTCTGATAAGTAATAGCGAAGACAAGAATTTCATCGTGCATGAACTTCATCTTGATCGACCAAAACCGGATGTGATGACGGTAAGGTATTGTAATTTGTTTTATACCATTGTTACTGGTATTTTTCAGCATTTTATAAAAACTGGAAACATGCAATAACTAAAGAAGCGACTTCATGCTTCATTCGAGGCCGAGGAAACTAGTAGCTTAGCTATCATTGAATTAAATCCGACAATCCCCAATGTTGGCTTTTCTAAACGGACTGTGTTCATGAAATATTAAAAAAAGAAATATAAATTTAATCCATTTAGATCCATTATAATTGATAAACTTTTGGTTCGTGTTTATCCATAATAAACAAGTTAGAAGAATATATAGTAAATAATATGGGATTCCATAAAAAAAAATGTTATATGTCCTTTACAGAGTTCTTCATTTCCCTCAATACCATATAACTTTCCTCTGAAACATCTTTTCATATTTGTAATATCTAGGATATAGTTGTGTGTAGACGTTTAAACCGGACATACTGTATGTAAATATGAGATGTGTCTAAAAAGTAATGAGACTGATTTCTGTTGAGTGCTGCTTTACTACTTGAGCCATATAGCCCTACTCTATCACCAGTGTAAGTTTCAGTTCGATCGAGATGATAAGTGAATCGACACCAAGTTTTAGAAGAGTACATTCTAACAACGCGTTACGAAAATGTAACAGCATTGTCCTTAAACGAGCTTATGGCTTTTGGGTATTATTGCAGTTCCGTAACCCTCGTACTCCCCAGATTCGAGTTCATACGACGTTTTTCTCTTTCCAAAGATAAAAAATCACCTCAAGAGTCGCCATTTTGAAACCATAATGAACGTTTCAATAGAAGATTTCCAGCATTGTACAGCTGACAGTGTACAGCTTACCAAGGGAACTATTTTGATGAAGATAATGTAAATTTATCAATAAGTAAAATATAAACACTTTCATAGAACCAGTCTCGTTACTTTTTAGACACCCCTCGTGTACCAGTATTCCTGAGTTTGGATTTCTAAAGGGCTACGAAGGTAAAACCGAAAAATACTAGTATACTACTGGAAAATAAAAGAAAATATCACGAAAATATAAAACAGGAAAGAACGATTTCAACAAGTATGATATTACCTCCCCACATACCGGTTTGATTACCGGTACCGGTTGTCCATTGTCCAGCGGCTGTGTTTGGTTGAGAAGATGTAGGTGCACCGGTCCACGTGTTCGACGAATCGGCAACCTCGTCATCCTCTCCCCAAGTTCCACCAATGTTTGTTGTCGGAGTATGGCCCCAAGGCGTTTTTGGTTGTTGTTGAGGCGGTGGTTGGCCACCATTTCTGATATTGGTTTCCCACAGATCTGTACCAGTGTTCACTGGTGGTTTCCATACAGGGACTGCTTCTTTAGTCGTATTAGGCTCTGGAGTAGTTGGTACATCCCAGTTTGTGTCCTGATTTACGTGTTGCTGAAAGAAAACAGACAAATTTTATTTACCTATGGAATCATTGCGAGCACAAAAGAAGGCAAAATTACCGAATTTAATATAAATTCTTTGTACTGGCGTTTTCAAAAAATAAAAATCGCTAAACAGTCTAAACCTGGTACCCAATGTTGATCATATAATGGGACTATAGAATCGGAATACTACATAGATCCCACCGTTTGAGCCGTCCCAAGTACTGGGCCATTTTAATAGTTGTACATTTACTGTATTTTACAGATTGTTGTTGAAGTTAACATTCCTTTTACTTTTTAGAAACAATAACATAAACACTGTTTATCGCATAATTAAAAATGCTATAGCATTTCGTTCACATCTTAACCATGCAAGTACAGTATTTTTTCAGTAAGTACTTTCAGTCTCGGGACAAGTCGGGGAGCATTCAGCCAATAGATACACTAATGCAATGCAAAATTAAAACTTTTTTTCTCAAGATAATTCATTTAACATACTAGTGAAAGTTTTCTGATCAAAATGGGACCAAACGTGATTAAATTTGGGCCAATTTTACTTAACACTCATCGAATATGTAATCGTTCCGACAAATTACAAAAATAAATAATATACTTTTCTAGAAAAGTATGTACGTCGTATGTGGTCTTGTTTTAATCAAAAAAATTTGACCAGTGCGAAAAGAAAATTCATTGGAAAGAAAATAAAACTAAAAATCTTGCAGTACTGCATCAACTCGCCTCGCTGCCAAGGATCGAGCATTTACTGAAAAAATCCTGTATCAAGGTCGTTTTAGAAATTTGTACATTTTTGTTATTTTTATATCGTACCTCCTAATAGTTATAACAATTATAAAAATACTTACACGGCCCCAACCATCTTGACTAAAAAGTGCTTCTCTCATCGTGTTCAATTGCTCCAGTTGTTGTTTTGTCGAAGGATTATTGCTAGGAGGTGTATTACTACTATTAACGGATCCCTGAGCCTGATTATTCGCCTGACTATTCGTCTGATTATTATTGCTACTGGAGTTTGACGGTTGTTGTTGCTGTTGTTGCACAGTATTGTTGTTGTTGTTCGGGACAGAAGGATTTTGGCCAGGCCCTCCGGGATTATTGGATTTACCCTGCGGCCATTGGTTATTGTTCTGACCACTCTGACTTGTGCTGCCCGACTGAGAAGTAGGTGGGCCTGATTGCGGATTCACTTGTTGATTTGGATTATTCATCTTATTTACGTTACCTGAAAGCCGATCGATCAATTACGTAAATACTATACACGACCATTGATTTTTGTTTCAGAGGGTATTTTCCATTTCATTGTCTTTAAGTATAAGGCTTCGAAAATGATGTGCAAAGCCATTTACGGTATTTCTGCCTTAACCCTTTGCACTCCGAATTATATTTCAATTTTGTTACCAGCAGCTCTCAACGCTTTTAAGTGTTTTATTTGAAATTTACCTGTTAGAATGTCTGTTTTATTTACACTGTTGTTGTATTTTGTAATTTTCAAGTGCACGATATCTCTGTGGTTTGGACTTGAAAAAGGAGCTCCTGAGATCAAAATTGATGTCGAATCACACTCGACATAGGAGTGCAAAGGGTTAAGTGTGCGTTACTCGGAACCAAAGAGCCACATTTAATGCAAGAGGACAACATACTTTGTGTTTTACTGATAATTGTTTCCCTTCGCTAGCAACGTTGAACGCAGAAAACGACAGTGAGCAAAAGAACAGAAAGAAAACGAGCGTTCGAGGTAACCAGCAGAGATCAAAGGCGTGTCGATATGATTGAACGATAAAACTTTTTTTATTATTAATTATTTTTCAATGATAATTTCAATATCATGGCTCATCCCTGATCAAAACAGGGCCTAACACGATATAAGTTGGACTATAATTTATATATTAAATTAGTAAACACATTTATTGAATCAATAATATTGCGTTTAATCCTATTTTAATCGAAAAAATGTCACAAACACGGGAGTAAAACCCTCGTTAATAAATAACCGCAAATAAAAGAAGTTTTATTATCGCATTAAAATTGATTCACCGACATACGCTGACCTCGTTCTTCTCCAATGTTTCGGGGTTTGTTGTCGCATAGAAGTCAGATTTAGTATACCGATTGGTATACCTATTGGGAGACAAGATGTTGACACACTATCCACAACCTAAACGATCCAAGAGGTAAAGGGGATCATCTGTTCGCTCCAGCTAATCCCCTTCACTGTTTAGGTTCTTGGCTTGGTTTATGATCGACTTACCCAATAATAACCAAGAACCTAAGAAGTGGAGGGAATTACGTAGACCGTGGAGATGATTCACCTTGTGTCGTTTACTTTGTGGGTAGTGTGCCCCAATCATACCATCTCGTCTCTCAATATCTTCATCTTCTACTCAAGTAACAGTAGTATTCTCTTCGATAACAGTGAACGTATAAGCTAAATTCCACGTAGCAGTATCGACAAAATTTTAATTATGAAACAAAGTTGTTCAGAATGTTGAGTTCTACAACACATTTAAAAATCATCGAAGTCGAATAATTATCAAAATAAAAAAAGTTTTCTCGTTCCATTAATAATATGGTTTATCTCCTCACTCGAGCATTCTTACTCGGACTAAAAGAATCTTCGAGGAAGTTCAACTTAAAGGTGCGAAAATGAAAGATTTGACCATTAAAATGACGTCAGGAAAATTGTTGTATGACTTTGTTTCATAAAGTTGCAATAAATCAAAGATCGAACACGTTTGGCCAAGTATCCTAATACTTATGACCAGTAGTGTACATTCTATGGCATTTTTCGTAATAGTACGATTCAATGAATACGCTAATAAAATTTAACAAATCTTTTTGGAGAAATAGTTTGTATAAAATATGGAATAACCATTTGGTCGACAAAAATATATGTATTCCTTTGCATAGCAATAAATGTTCTTCGAAAAGATAAGAAAAATAATTGGTGTGTAATATACCATCTTCGATTGTATTAGGTCAGTGCATATGAAATGTCGTTATTCAGAAGTTTTATCGTCAATTGTTTGTAACAATAATAAAGAGGCATAAGTATATTATACAACAGTTTAAAATTAATACATTAAACCCGCGTTATTAGTAGTCACGAATATTCATAATATTCATATAAACTTGGGAAAACGACGATGGAAGTTGCTGAGAACATAAAATTAACAGTTGAACAGTTTAACATTGAGTTTTACTTTAATAGCATCTCAATTAAAAGTAAACCATTTCAAATAAGAAAAACAAAAAATTTTAGACAAATGAAGATAGCCAGCTCGTTCAACGACACGAAACAATGGCTGAATAAAGATAAAAAGCCAATGCACATATAAAAACTACTTAACTGTACCACAAATACTAAAAATACCAAATATGGTTAAAGTTTCATTTGTAAAATGAACATTTTCTATGCACCAATCTAATACCTCGTTAACAGATTCGGCCCTGTAAGTAAAACACATCAAATTCTGGACACAAATAGCAATATTAAAATATAGAGAGAACGTTTGAAAGATAGAAAAATAAAAGTACTCACCCGGCACGTTTTGCCCACCTAATGGTCCTTGATTCTGATTCGTGTTTGGATTACCAGCAGTAGATCTATTTACATTATTTCCAGACCAATTCCCAGACGTGCCACTGTTTCCAGTGGAATTGCCGGAAGTACCTCCCCATGTAGCTGGATTGCTATTGTTATTGGTAGTATTAGCCTGTGCAGATCCCCAATTCGCTGCTCCGCCGTTGTTCAATGAACTTTCACCACCACCGGCTAATCTGAGTATGCTGGAGATTCCCCACCTTTTCTTATACCCGAAATTCGGTTCATCTATATCGCAGACTATCTCAAAAAGAAGAGTTAACACGCGTTTAAGTTCATCTTTGAGAATTTGTAGAGTATCTTTGGAAACCCCTACAGACGCTGCAATGAGATTCCTTGCGCAATCAATGAGGTGGTCTCGGTTAGAGCTGCATGTGTGAACTTCATCGTTCTCCGGATAAATAGAAATTGCATTTCCTGTACGCGCGACATTCTCCGCTCGATTCGAAGCGATCAGCCTTTCTTCGGAACCCTGGCCGTTCGGTACACAAGCACGAATTTCACACCCTTCAAATTGGTTGGAATTGCGAAAGTGCGTTACAATCGCGTCCATAGGCTTCGATGCCGCAGGATTTACATTGGATCCTTCATTGTCATTGATTTGGGCAGTTTGTAACGTCGAATTGATTAGATCGATGCGATTAGAATTTACCGGGCCTCGTGTGAAAATATTTTCAACATCGAGCTCGATAATTTGGTGTATTTTGTACGTCTTTTTAAATCGATATACATCACAGAGATTTTTTAGAGAAATGTTTTCATTCAATGGGTCGATAAAAACTTGATATCTTAGTTTTATTCGTTCCGGTGAACTAAAGTACGATGAAATAATAGAAACATTCCCTTCTATTGACTCGTGCGAATCTTGGCAATTATCATTTCTGTCAAATCTATAAAAACGAAATATGCCTGCTTTAGTATATTGATCGCCATGCAAATAGACAGCAGTTTGAGATTTGATCATTTCCAGTTGATCGTGGTCAACGTGTTTAGCAATGTTTCGGCGTATGATTTGTTCGATAAAGCAGTCGAAACATCTCGAAGAATCTTCTTCGTCTTCACCCTCTGGAAGAGAATCATTGTGATATCCCGTTGAACAGTTTGGCAGACTGTCATAAAAATCGTGAGGAGTGTGCATTTGGTCGGGCCATAATGTCTCGAAGTATTTCGGCCGAGATCCAGGTACACCGATTATTCGGGATGCAGATTGGCGTTTAAGCGTCATCGTAGGCTTGCAGGTAGTCGTAGTAGGAATGTAGAGAGCGAACTCGGCTTGGTTCTCCCCCTTAACCCTAAATCTATCCCCTATAGTAGACTTAGAAAGAGACTTAACAAACTCAGGGTCAAGACGCACATACGACCCTGAGTACCTATAGTTCGCGAAATAAACGCCCATGGGCTCGTTAGACTTAACATTATCCTGAAATGAAAGAGCACCAACAGTAATTGTTGCCACGTCACTAATACCATTAATTCCCCAGGACAACATCTCCACCGTAGTTCCCATTATATTCAAAATTATTGTTTTTGATGTTCTTATTATAAACCAAGCGTTTAGATATTCTTTCATCGAAGTCGAAACATTCGAATACATTCTTCTATAGATTTTTAACAGGAACAAATGGTTCACATTTTGCGCGAATGTTCTGATAGAGGCAAAAATTCCGCTGCTTAACTTCCTTAAAGCCGTCGCGTGGAACAAAATCGTCGAATTTTGCTTGTTCGAGGCAAAACTTCTACGATCCGTCTCTCTGTACGTTACGAACGGAACGGTTAATTTTTCTCTCATCGAGATCCAGATTTTACGATGCATCGTTATAGTTATCATTATTGTTACCGTCGCTACCGAATCCTCGACAGAAAACAAAACATTTTTAGCGAAAACGACAATTTTCTGATTTGTTTTTCCGAAGTTTCTTGAGAGCGTTAGAATCTTTGAATGTGCCTTTGTCGTCATAAAATCTTCTACTTTAAAGGCCAATGTCCTCTCATTTACCTTCGAAGAAATGTTCGAGTAACGGACATTAAGATGCGTCCTTTCGTAGCTAGTCTCGTGGCTCGGTATCCCCTTCCACATAATACTAAAATCGCAAATCACCTTATACCTAAATTTATCCACATAAAGCTTACGATCTAACGAGAGTGGAACACATGCGCGTTGCGTCAGCTCGCTCGCGACCAGGTCGAGCCATGGAGAGAAGGATTGTGCGCGTTTCGGCGCGTTTTTTAATGGGAGAGGTCGCAGAGGCTGGTCAGTTAGATCGTTTCTGGGAACGATAAGCGTAATGGAAGAACTGGTGGCCACGTTTTTCCCTTCCTTAATCAAATCTGATTCTTCGTTCGACGATCTATCACTTATTTTAACTTTCTTTAGCATCACGAAATTTAAAGGCGACTTTGATATTTTTGTATAGTTTTCCTCAATGTGTGCTAACGCAATATTATTGTTTATACAGGATATATCGACCGACGTAACATTTTTCAACATTTCTTTCTTCGTATCGTTAATTTCCGCAAGAAAAAATTCGATTATTATGGACGAAGTGTTGACTTTTAAGAAAGTACTGCTTAACAGAAGATTTCTAAGTGTGTGCGAAGATTGTATGCATCTCTCGAGCGAGATAACGTTAACTTTGTTTAACCGTTTCTTTGTAATACCTAGGTAGAACAGAAGACGAGATTCGTCTCTCAAAAATAGATATGTGAATAGAAATTTTAATATTTCTTCGTTAATATCGGTTAAAGAAATATCTTCAAATGTTAAATCACGCGATATATATTTTCCGGCGTTTTGTAGGTTTTTCAATTCAATGTCGATAGACAGAAATCCTCTCGTGTCTTGATTTTTACACGGTGATTCGCATCCCATGATATTTTTTATGTTCTCCGAAACCATTTTAATTATTACGAAATGTACCAAAGACGATTCGTTCGATCCTCCTTCGCTGGAATCGTCGGACACAATTTTCCTTAACATCGTCACGATTTTAACAATCGATTCAACCGAAAACAGTTCGTCCCGAATAATTTGATTATCCGCCGAGAATATTTCCATAATTCTACAAACTTTATCCTGCGATTCGAAATGAAATCGTTTTTGTAACAATAAACCGTCGAAAGAAGAGTTCACTAAGAATCTGAATGGATTCAAACGGGCTCCTAGTCTCATTGCGATCGCACCACTGTCCATTTCGACGCGGAGGAAATAATGGTTACTGGTTGAGCTGAGCAATATCACAGACTTGTAGTTATCGTTATTATTACTTAGGAGGCTAGAATTAGACTTAATGTTATTGTATTTGCCCGGATAAAGGCAGGACCCTAGTAAGGAGTAATTGTCAAGAGAGTCGAGAGAGAAGTGGCCTGATGAGGGGCGATCAGACTTGGGTATCCTAACTAGGCTAGGTACCCCTTCACCGATTGCGCACTTATCCCCTGTTAATCGTAGATTTATGCTTATATTTAGTACCCTAATGTTTAGTACGCTAAAGCTAGTCTTATTATCACTTAGTGTCTTAGATATAGACTTAGAGTTATTGGCGGAGCTGCCCGGTTTGTGTTTGCCGGACAAGCCCGGTTGTTTTCTTTTTGTTGCATTAACTGTTGTTTTTCGATCATCTTGATGATTATGTTTTGCTCGTCTTGAGCGATTATTTAGAGTAGGATTATTATTATTATCGTAAGTTAGAAAGTGATTTTTTGTTGGGTGTTTTGTGGTTGACGACGCCACTGACTGGCAGGTCGGGCCTCGACTGGTCAAGATGGACTTGCCTGCAAAAAAATTAAATAATCGTTATACATTCAAAATCGATGATATTCAAATTCCACTGTCGCTCAAATAATTTCTCCACGCGTGTTCATCATTTTTTATACTTCAACTAAATACTACTATTTATATTGTTCGGTTAATTCATTTTAAATGTTACGATGCCTGCAAGCATTATTAGAACTTCGAATTCAATTTTCGAGAGAACGGTTGATTTCTTGACGAGTAGAACACGATATAATCATAAAAAAGTTTGACCTTAAAAAGTCGGTCAAGATCAATGTTACAACGAACTTTTTCAACTTTCGCTGACTCATGTAAAATCCGGCCGTAACGGATTTTATAAATAATTCTGTGACACCCTGTATTTTCATAAACCCTAACAACTTTTGTAAATAATATTTCCTCACATTGTTCGAAATAATCCAGATATTTAAGTGGACGGAGTTCGCGAGACAGTGGATATGTGTTCGGTGCCATTTTAAACAGAAAAAAGCTATGAATGGATGTTAAAAAAAAAAAGAATAACAATAACAAAGTTTCATTGTTTAGTTAATATATTCTATTTAAATCGCATTATGTCTTTAACATAACTATGTGAACAAAAACTAAATATAAATTAAATAATAAAAGAAAGTTAAAAAATAATTGTTTTTTGTTTTGACACAATCTCTCGAACGTCTTTTACAATAAAGCTCGGTTAAAAAATAACCTTCTCGCTAACAGAACCAAGAGGTAAGCCAATAGCAGCTTTTATCAACGTTATGCGGGCGTTTGACTCGATCTTTGGCAAAAACTAAACACAGTGTTCGGCCACCTCGGAGAAAAATTGTAATGGGACATTCTAGAGGCCAAAATAAGAAGAAAATCAGGAATACCAATTTGTTGATTGAGGTTTCGTTAACAAGTTATTAACGTTTAAAGGTCAGCCTGTAGAACGGCAATCTGCGAACAGCTGCGTGCGCGCGCAACAGTGGTTCTCACTCAGCATGAGAAACTCTACTTACCGACGTATCGACAGTCTCACAGTTTTGTAAGTGAGAACCACAGACGACGTATATGAGTAGACCTTACATCCAATGTATTTTTTCAGCCCCTTTCTCTGGAGCGCTAGAGCCCCATTAGTACGCGATGTTTGCATTTTGAAACATTAAAATCGTCCAATCCGTTCAGGAATTATGATGTTTTAAACATACGCATGAAATTTCAGGTTAAGTTTTCTGGCCACATATTATATTTTCAGTAAAGAATTTTTTTTCTCGAAAGTGGGTAGGATTTCGGGGGTATGTGTATTGACCAAAAATGATTATAATTGACCCCCGCAGCTGAAAATAATTTTTCCAGAACGATTTGAAATTTTTTTTTTCGTCGAAAAATTTCAACGTCTACTCCCTGACAATTTTTCTTAAAAATTTTTGATTTTTAATCAATTTGTTTGACGCTGTTAATATTGTCCAATACTTTTCTGTAGGTATCCATGAACTCTGCTTCTGACCAAAATTTCATTGAAATATATTCACTATTTCAGGAGTTATGGTTGTTTGAAAATTGAACCATTTTTATGGAGTTTTTCTCACTTTACCATGTTAAGGAACAACTTTTCAAATATTCTTGGAATTTCTACATATTCCACGCCAAAATACGCGTTGTTTGCATTTTGAAACATTAAAATCGTCCAATCCGTTCAGGAATTATGATGTTTCAAACATACGCATGAAATTTCAGGGGAACCATTTCAGGCCTCAGATTATACTATATTTTCAGCAATGAATTTTTTTCTCGAAAGTGCGTAGGATTTCGGGCGCGTGTGTATTCACCAAAAATGATTGCAATCGCTCCCTGAAATTAAAAATAATTTTTCCAGAAGGATTTGAAATTTTTTAATTTTGTTGAAAAATTTATCCACCTTCCTGAATTTTTTTCTCAAAAGTGGATAGGATTTCGGGGGTACGTCTATTCACCAAAAATTATTGTAATCGTCCCCCTAAAACTAAAAATAATTTTTTCAAAACAATTTGAAACTTTTCAATTTCTCCAAATAAATTAGGCACCCTGAAATTCGACTTTGATTTTTCATAACTTTGTTTGACACTGTACGGAAATGTTGTCTAATTCTTTTTTGTAGGTACTCATGAGCACTACTTCGTAAATAAATTTCAATGGTATGCACTCACTATTATAGAAGTTATGGTCGTTCGAAAATTGGACCATTTTGATGGAGTTTTTCGCACTTTATGGGTTTAAGGAACAACTTTTTGAATGGTTTTGAAATTTCTACATATTGTTTGCTAAAATACACGTCGATTGCATTTTGAAACATTAAAATCCTCCAATCCGTGCAGGAATTATGATGCTTTAAACATACGCATGAAATTTCAGGGTAAGTTTCCTGGCCACATATTATATTTTCAGTAAAGAATTTTTTTCTCGAAAATGGATAGGATTTTGGGGGTATGTGTATTGACCAAAAATGATTGTAATTGACCCCCGCAACTGAAAATAATTTTTTTTGAACGATTTAAAATTTTTTAATTTTGTCGAAACTCTACTTACTAATGTGTATCGACAGCCTTACGGTTTTGTGAGTGAGAACCACTGTCGCTTGCGCGCAGCTGTTCGCAGATTGCGCCGTTCTAGAGGCGGAACTTTAAACGTTAATAACTTTTTAACGAAGCCTCGATCAACAAATCGGTATTCTTGATTTTCGTTTTATTTTTGCCTCTAGAATCACCCATTAAAATCTTTCCCAGGGGTTGCTGAACACCCTGTATAATAGAATATTTGATTTTATATTTTTAACAACTATGTGGATTTATATCAATTTATAATTTTTTTTTTATACAGATCCAAATCTTGTCCACAATGTACAGAAAGAACCACATTAAGTCACACCCTGTATACGTGTAAACTACGCTCCAATGTTATCAAGGTTCTACAAAACATTTATAGCAAGGCTACCTTGCAGGTAAGAACCTACAACTTCAGGATATTCCTTGAGCCCAAACTCTGTTTTCCCTCCATACATCGGACGCAGAACAATTTTTTTGAACAAAGCTCATCACAAAGTAATGAAACTCATAAAACTCCTTTATTTCCGACGTTATTATATCGGCTGATAATTGGGTGAATATGAAAAACAAAATGAAGACAGATAGGGGAGGGAAAGCCAAAAAATTTAAACCCTTAACATATTGTGGCCTGTTAGAAAGCCTTACTAATAAGTCTCAGTAGCACTCCTTTCCTTGTCTACCTTCCTGTTATCTCGCTTAACATTCCTCCACCTAGCAAAACGCGCCATAATAGAAAGAAGCTCGGTACCACCAAAGAGCACATATAATTGGGAATTTCAATTACTACTTTAGGATTGTTTAACATAGCAGCACACCATACGTTCAAGAAAACTATCACGGCGATAAGCTGCATATGGAGACCAATAATAACCACTGAACTAGAATCTCAACCATAAAGAAGAAATACACAAATTACGAAATAAGTTTATTAAGTCTATCCTACACCTTCGATGAAGCACACTTGGATATATGAACAGGATGGAAATGGGACTAACCAGATTAAGGCTACAATCTCTCAAAAGACATTGGGCATTATGTCCTCAAGTGGGTATATCCCGTATACTAAACGATAAATAAATAAATAAAAGAGAAACTGGTATTCCCTTCTGCAGGCTACAATAACCGAGTTCGAATTCATATAGCCAATCACCAATATCATAAGTAGGGAAAGGTTAATTTTGAGAGCAACTGTGCGGCTCTATTATAGATATAAAATATTAAGATATAGACATTAATAAATGCGAAGAATATCTCAAGCACAGGCGAGGTATACGAGTAGACCTTACATCCAATGTATTTTTTCGGGCCCATTTTTCTGGGTCTCTGGAACCACATTACCAATTTCGTGTAATTCGCAACATTACCAACAGATTACAGAAATGAACACAAGAGGAAGTTGTTTAATACTCTTTTATAGGTATCCATGAGCTCTACTTCATAAATAAATTTCAATGAAATACACTCACTATTCCAGGAATTATGGTCGTTTGAAAACTGGACCATTTTTTTGTGGTTTTTCTCACTTTACGGGGTTAAGGAACAACTCTCTGAACATTCTTAGAACTTCTAAATATCCTTCGCCAAAATACGCGTTGTTTGCATTTTGAAACATTGAAATCCTCCAATCCGTTCAGAAGTTATGAATTTATAAACATACATTATACAATATTTTCGGGAAGGAATTTTTTTCTCGAAAGTGGGTAGGATTTCGGGGATATGTGTAATGACCAAAAATGATTGTAATCGAGCCCCACAACCAAAAATAATTTTTTCAGAATGATTCGAATGTTTTTAATTTAATTTTTTAATAACTTTTTAACGAAGCCTCAGTCAAGAAATTGATATTCTGGTGTTCGCTAAAAATGATTGTAATTGACCCCCGCAATCAAAAATAATTTTTTCAGAATGATATGAAACTTTTTAATTTCGCCGAAAAATTTCTCCACCTACCCCCTGTCGATTTTTCTTAAAAATTCGTTTTTATTTTTAATAAATTTGTTTGACGTTCTGTCTCAAGATCCCTCTGCCTCTGTCAATTATCAGTACATTCGCTCGACTGAGGTTAATGGGAATAAAATCTTTAAGAATAGGATGTAAGTATATTATGTATAAAATGTTGAACATGTTGTTCAAGTTATCGAACATAAATTTTTGCAATTGAACCACATTATTGATGCATTAACTGAATCGTTTATAATCAATTTAAATTCTGACAGTTCCAATACACAACATAAATTGTGTACAGTTCCATACCTTAATTTGTATTTTCATTTGTCTCCCTACTTACATTATTATACAGGATGTTCGGCCACCCGTGGGAAAAGTTTTAATGGGCGATTCTAGAGTCCAAAATAAGACGAAAATCAAGAATACCAATTTGTTGATCGAAGCTTCGTTAAAAAGTTATTAACGTTCAAAGTTCCACTATCGCGCGCAGTTGTTCGCCGATTGCCGTTCTACAGGCGCAACTTTAAACGTTAAAAACTTTCTAACGAAGCCTCAATCAACAAATTGGTATTCTTGATTTTCGTCTTATTTTGGTCTCCAGAATCCCCCATTAAAATTTTTCCCAGGGTTGGCCTAACATCCTGTATAATAATATTAACACATTGACCGCGGGGCCCCGCAACAATGTGGAACAGTATTGTTTCTTTTAAATTTAAATTATATATTGAGTTCAATGGTAACATTATAAAATATAAAAAATTTTTACACGCTGTTGGTGCCGGCGTTCAATGTGTTAATATCGAGGATGAGTATTTTTTGTTTAAAAAATTAGCTTCTTTCCTACTATGCAGGGATCCAGACATTACGTTTCGGCCCTCGCGTGCAACTGTTTATATTTCCTGTCAGTTCTCGTTGAATCGAGTATAGTACAAGTAGTAACATTTATTATATTCGTGTATTCGCCAAGGTTTGCTTGGCAAGTTTTTATATGCAAAATTTAAATAACAATCGACAATAGAGAAACAGCTTGAAAATTAAAATTTCTCATACAACAAGAACGCATATTTCGCTCATCTGTTTAAAAAAATTGAATTGATACACATTTACGTTTTGACAAATATTTAGTACTATTCGGTAACTTATTATGTTATGTAAGCATAATGTAAATATAATATTCACAACATGTAACATTTAATAACTGTCTGTTATAACATATAGTTTATAATAACTGTTCCCATGGAACTTTTATTGTACAAATTCTACAACGAAAACTGTATTTAGAAAGCTTGTAATAGTAAACCATTTCTTATAAAAATATCGATAATTTTTTTTAGAGAAAAGGTAACTGTTTGCTTCAATTACTGTTTTAGACAGAAGCAAATAATGTTCACACGCATTCTGACACAAAATTAAGACAAGAATGTATAGTTACCAGTTTGGCTCGACAGGACGGTTAAAAAGTCATTGGCGGCGGTATTTCCAAGATGGCCAATAGGTTTTACCATCATGTTGTTGTTTATGAATTCGATATCACAGTACCTAGCATTTTCTGATTCTCTTCCCTTCCCAACCCCTATCGGACTGTTTTTCCCTAATACTACTACATCCCCCTGAAACAGAAAGAAGTGTCACTGTAGAGATACTTTAAAATATAACTTCATTTGTATGATAAATATTAAAGATCCGCGGATACGTAAAAGCACAGGTACTCTAAACTCTTGAACCAGATTCGGATCCCGAAAGTTTCATGTCACATAAATACATTAATTGTCCGTACAAAAGAAAAAGTATAATTCATGCCACAATACATTTCGAATATTATAATACTCATGTGATAAGAAATTTTAGAGATTCTGACTCACTAGAAATCTAAATATTGAATGCATACAAACTTTTTAGCTTTGAAAAACCCATATCAACACCAACCGTATCGAAATTGTTATACAGAGTGTTCGTTTAGAGTTACGATCAAAATATTTCGAAAACAATGCATTTTTTATTTTTTAAGTGTACTCAAGGTTATTTGAAGATTAAGTTTGTGAAAACTTTTGTACGGGACACTTCCTTATCACGCTTCATTTGAAAAAGATATTTAATGAAATAATAATTTGTTCGGAAAGCCACGAGTGGCGAACGTAATTCACATTATTTTCGGTTGAAAAAAGTGTGCATATAGATAAAATGATAATGAATACGTGTTCCTGAAATCATATCGGTAAGTTTTTACGCTTCTTTTACAAAAAAAAAAACTTTCGAAAACGGTTTAAAAATTAAACTTCTAGATCAGAATACCCTCGTAAATACTCAACATTCACTGGTTTTATTTTGAATACTGTAGACTTTAAATGACGCCATAGAAATTTTTAACACCAAGTGCGATAAAAACAATTTCTCGTACAAAAGTTTTTTCCTTGTTTCTGTAACTTTGGTGGTCGTTTATTAATTACACTGTCCAAGATAAGTTTAGTCTTGTAGTATCCATCGGGTGGTCCTAATAGAGCACCTTGTCTCAAACAAGAATCTGAAAGCCGAATTGCTATTATCCTCAGTTTTAAAGAAACATGAATTTTTTTTAAAAGATTTCGAACAAAAGCCAGGCACAGTAATTCCTCCCATATTGGCCCTTAGCTTGGGAACGAAAGTGGATAATTTGGATAGAGGAGCTACGATCCTTCGAGAGCCTTGCAGCGCGCTTTTATTTGTGCCAACAGACCACGAAAGAGAAGGATAGAGCGAAGAAAGTCGTGGCAGCTGATAAGTTTAAAGGTCACACCGGTGTCGTAATACAGATAGAGAATAATGCTAGAACAAAAATGACTGTTCAACTTTTTTACTTTTAATTTTGTCAACATATTGGTGAGATTCTGTTGATCAAACATGATACACTTGAAACTATATTTACTTATTATTAAGTGGTGGGTAAACCATTTTGTTTCATTGCACAAATAATTATAACAAAGAACACACTATAAAAACAGACTCTTAACTACATATAAAATATCTAAGGCGATGTTAAGAAAGATATTTCACTTGAAGAAGAATATCAAAATATTTATGTTATTCGATCGACAATTATGGATCGACAATCCTATATTTGACGAGCAACGTGAAAGAATAAGCCCACGTTTGATCTTATTTTAATCGAAAAATTCTGATCAGTATATGCTGTAATATTTTCCAATAAAAAAAATAAAATTAAAAATACCTCATTTTATTGTGAATTGTGTTTAATATATATAAGTACATATTATTACAAACATATTTCCTTGAATATTTTCATCTGTAATCCATTATTTCAATCTGCCACTTTCTATGTTCTTTCATCAATATTTTACCAGTGTTTTACCATGTCATATTTGATGCATTCGTTTTCGAAATGAAAGTAATTTGACATCAATGATTTCCAATTTTTTGCTATATACACTTTCTACTTTATCTATTTTTATATAACTGTCCCGTCATATTTTCTGTAAATATTTGTACTTTTAACATTTCTAAGGATCTATAAAATGCTGTCTTACTAATACTTCAGGGTTTGATTCGGCCATTTTCTAATATTCACCTTCCTATCAGACATTTTTCAGGTCATTCGAATACACTTTACGCAAACAGTTATAAGACAAAATATAACTCCATTCCAACACGTTAGTACTTACTAAAACTAGAGAAACGAGTATATGTATAAGTATATAATTTACGTAGGTTAATCATTTAATCTTATTTCTGTTTTGTCAGACCTTGCAATTTGATGTTTTAAAAACGTTTAGCCATCTTGTTATTTGTATTTATATTATATCAACTACAATAATTTTTGTAAGACCCTTATTTAATCACAGAAACAGTTACATCCCATATAGACATATAAAATGAAAACAACTAAAAAATTTAATTAAATCTCACCATGGAATTTTGTACGAAGGCATTTGTTTCTGTAGAAATCTCATGTGAACTAGAATTGTGTGGAAACATTGGGCTCAGTTCTTCTTTGGCAGGCAATGCATAGAAACCAAGATCTAAAAAAAAAAAAAATTGCAACATTTAGTAATTTATTAACAATGTTCTTTACTCTGTTATGTGAGGACTTAGAAGTATATTGAAAATGTTCAGCTGTAAAATGTTTAATCATATTTTTCCCTTGTTCAATATGTATAAAAGAAATTTTAGAATAAAATTATTTTAGAGATCCATCATTATTTCTTACAATTCCATATTGGTTCATTGTTATTAGTATACAATTTTTATATAATTTTTATTTCCACTCAAAGACAGAAACTTTTATTTATAGAAAATTATTATTATAGTAAACTTTGGATGTTACATTATAAATTTTATTCTTTACAACTGAAATCAAATTATGCCAATACAGTTTATTTCGTTTAAAGTAATTCAGTTTCACCCAAGTTCACATTTTCACGAAACGAAAAAAGTTTATATATTTTACAAATACCTTACACATCTTTATTTTATTAAATTTAAGTTAAGCAAACAAAATAACCCAGCATTAAAAAATAGAAATACCAACCTTGTAGACTATCACTATTAATGTGCTCCTAGCTCCATGCCAGTGGAGATCTAAAACAAAAAATTATATGAATTATTATTTATTTGCCTATATTGATTTTCTTCTAATTTTATACGGTTACTATGTATCAGATATTGTAAATTGGAATTTTTGTACTATTTTTGTACTTGTGACTTTGTGTTTTGTAACAAGATATCGTAATTTTTGTATTTTTGTGTTGTGCTTCTAAACGTTAATGTTTAGTTATGTATTATGTTTTCAAATTTTTTTATTTTGATTTTACTTTTCATAGAAGGGTACACCAGGTGTATCCTGCCTGTATCGTAATGTACGATTTTCTAGCCGTTTACAGCCATCTTGCCAACAAAATTCTGGACAAAACTTTATTGGTATTGAGTGTATAACATATAATAATAATAAAATTTTGAAACAGTTTGTTTTTATGGCGAAATTAAGGTCACTATGTTTTCCAAACCACATATTTGTTTTCTTATCGTATTGTAGAGGACATCAAGATAAATTCGAAATGCATATTACATGATATTTTTACTAACACACCACGAAATTTATTTTACATTTAATATTAATTAACGATAAGCACACAAACATACATTTCTGTTTTCCTTATTTTAATTCTTTTTATCGACAATAAGTGGCAATAACTTAAATAACTACAGTCTTTTATATCGATGTACAAAATATTTTAAAAATTATTATTTATGCTGTATTATTGTGTGTTATAAATTCCATTCACATTTATCTGTCATACAAAACAATTTAAATGTATAAATGGAAGAATAATATTACGATTTTTCCAACTCTTATCGTCATTGTTATTCTTGTTTAAAATATTTAATGTTATTATTTGAGATATTTCAATGTACTTTATATTATTCTATTCTCATACAAAATAAAACAGAAAAAAACAAAAAGTATATGAATACTTAAGTATAATAGTTATTTTTCATTCGTTTTATTCTTAATACATAATTTTTTAGAGATTAGAATTAGAATTTTTAAAAATTCTAGACATATCTTTTCTGCACGAAAAACATACGATAAAGTATCAGAAACAGTGTTTGCACTGAAGAAGTTGGATATATGCCCGAAAATAGGGACCCCAAGCCAGGCGTTTATGAAATAGATAGATCGATTCTAATTATAGGAACATCACCAGTCGACTGTCCAGTATAGAAAAGGACAGCGAGAAAAAGAGAAGGAGGTCCTCCAGAAATTACCAGTACACAGGGTGTACGGCCACCCCTAGGAAAAATTTTAATGGGTGATTCCTGAGGCCAAAATAAGACGAAAATCAAGAATACCAATTTGTTGATGGAGGCTTCGTTAAAAAGTTATTAACGTTTAAAGTTCCGCCCGTACTGAATTTTTTTTCTCGAAAATGCGCAAGTTTTCGGGGGTATGTCTATTCACCAAAAATGATTGTAATTGACCCCCGCAACCGAAAATAATTTTTCCAAAACGATTTGAAATTTTTTTTTTCGTCGAAAAATTTCACACCTTCTCGAATTTTTTTCTAGAAAGTGGGTAGGATTTCGGGGGTATGTCTATTCACCAAAAATGATTGTAATTGACCCCCGCGACCGAAAATAATTTTTCCAAAACGATTTGAAATTTTTTTTTTCGTCGAAAAATTTCACACCTTCTCGAATTTTTTTCTAGAAAGTGGGTAGGATTTCGGGGGTATGTCTATTCACCAAAAATGATTGTAATTGACCCCCGCGACCGAAAATAATTTTTCCAAAACGATTTGAAATTTTTTTTTTCGTCGAAAAATTTCACACCTTCTCGAATTTTTTTCTAGAAAGTGGGTAGGATTTCGGGGGTATGTCTATTCACCAAAAATGATTGTAATTGACCCCCGCGACCGAAAATAATTTTTCCAGAACGATTTGAAATTTTTGAATTTAATTGTTAATGTTTATATAAAAATAAAAATTTCACACCTTCCCGAATTTTTTTCGAGAAAGTGGGTAGGATTTGGGGGGTATGTCTATTCATAAAAAATGATTGTAATTGACCCCGCAACCGAAAATAATTTTTCGGGCCCCTTTTTTAAAAGGGGGTGATTCTACATGAAAAAATAAGTCTAAAATATAGAATAAAAATTTGTCATGTAAGGCTTCGTTTCTCTGAAATTTCTCCGGGTACGCGTGCACTTGATCATGTTTTGTTATAATGGATCTCGCTGTAGATCATTGTCTCGATTGAAGTTTATGTTAATGGGATTGTTTATTGTACCTATCACCTTACTATCTTAACTTTATCGCTAAACATCCTATATAACTATTTGATAAACTTATTTTCAGAACCTATTCAATCATTGTACAGTGTTGTGTCACTTTCCTTTCTAAACAGAAAAATTAAAAAGTCATTGATTGACTCATTAATCAGATGTATTTCCTTTAAGTTCTTTATGGAAACATGTAGTATCTACAGTTTGTGTAAATTGTATGAAACACAGTAAATGTAACAATTGTTTAAATTAAATCAATATTCATAGAAATATTTGTCTTTCCTTGTAATAAATAATCTTTGGATATAAATTTACAAGAATAAAGAAAATAATATTATATAAAAGAAAGAAAGAAATATATCTACTCAAAAGAAAAATAAGTTTAAAAGTTATATTTTTTATAATTATTTGTACCTATAAACAACACTTTTCGTAGAAAGAATTCTTTATAACATTTGTGCGGAGTTCTTTGTATGAAAACAAATTCAATACTTAATGTTGCATTTTCACTAATTATAACTAATTTTGTGCTACAGTAATGCTTACGATTATAAAAAATGTTCTAAATGACCACCTTCAGACCGAAGCTAAAACCAGTAGTCATCGTATCATAGAGTTTTTCAATCTTTCAAAAATTCCAGATATTTGTTAGATATATTGTCAAACTTGTATACTTTAATGAAATATTTTAACAGTAACAATGGTTAGAGTGATTGGATAGAATCATACAACTCTTTCACCTTTATTTTTCTTGTAAACTACATGTTGTACAAAAAACTGTTTTGAGCGACAATTGTTTAATATAAGGATGAGCATACATGGCAACAATTAACTTTTTGTTGTCTTCCTTTTTCATAAAAATATGAAGATTACCACGGATTTTTAAATTACAATGTGATACAGAATGAAAGATTATTAAAGTGCATGGGATCAAAAATTAATATTTATCAAGATATTCTTTAGTTCATTTTTAATGCTAGGAATATTCAAAATATTATCCATTACAATTAACGCAAGCATATAGATAATTAAACAATGTGAGTGATACATGTACAAGGGTTTCTATAGTTATAGCATAACAAGCTCTAATGATGCGGTCTTTCATATCGTCAATGGTTGTAAGTAACTCACAATAAATTTCTGTTTTTAAATAGCCCCGAAGATAATAATTAAATGGCTTCAAATATGAATATCGACTCCAACAGAATTTTCCTCATGTGTACCATAAACGAGGATCATATCCCGTTTTTCAATATTACTAAATTTTATTATGTCGGAGATATTTGTCACGTTCACATTTGCTGATGGCTTATCACTGAATGATCGATTCATGCAGCAGTAACATTAGAAGATTCCACATGTTTGTAAACATTGAAACTAAGACAAGCATTGTGTGAAATCTTTATACACAAAAATTCTACCATTCTTTACTGGAGAATATCTCTGTAACTATTAATTTCTGATCCCATGCACCTAATAATTTTTTATTCTGCATTCAATATTTTTGGATGGCATGATTAAATGCTGCATATTCTAGTTAAAAAACTCAAGGTGACCTTCGTATTTTGATAAAAGAGAACAATAGCAAGAGATTAATTGTTGCTGTATATGCTCCTCTTTATACCAAACAACTTTTGTTCGAAACAATTTTTTATACAACATGTAGTTTACAAGAAAAATTAAGGTAAAAGAATTAAATGATGCACCCTGTATACTTCTATGTAAAATTATACATATCTGTTCAGATTATGTTTAATTTTTGTTTGTCTCTATGATTAGCAGTCAAATATTATTATTATTATGATTACTTATAATAATAAAACAAAAAACCAGTTTAATACTTATCGTCATATTTATAAATATCTACTTGGACTTATATTCTTTTTCACATAATTATAGAACTCAATTTTACACAATGCGTTGAAATAAGCAATAAGGAATGCTGTTGAAAAAAAGTGCACATTTGTGTTGTACACGATATGCATTTGTTTATATTATTAGAAATATGATTTAAATTACTTGACGAGGATTAAAAGATACAATAATTCTGCTAAACAATCGTATGTTGCTAACCAGTCATAGGTTACGGATCACTGTGCCATGTCTACAATTTGAAAGGGAGTCTACAGCAAGGTGAAGTTTGAAAAGCACTGCTATAAACTACCTTAACGCTAAATTTTTCTCTTGTAACAGATTGCTTGTTGAAGTCGTAACTCCATATTGTGGAATTTAAAGACAAAGTAACGACATCGGCACTGAAAGTTATTTCTTTTAGTTGCAATCCATATTGACAATGTTACCAAATTTATTTAATTTTTCAAATAAATAATTTTATATAAAAATTACAAAATTCTGTTGAAATTTTGCAATAAAATCACGAACTATTACATTTACAATGTGCTCTAAAAATCATTCATTTGCACAAAAATTCATTGTCAATTGTATGCTACTACATACATTGATATGATAAAATACTTCAAATTTTGTAGAAAACTAACTTCTGAATGTTGCATCATTGCTGATGTTATGAAATTGATAGCAATGTAAAATAATATGTGTTCCTATAAAGCACTGACAATATACACCACACATAAACACGATTGTCACAAAATGATTTTTCACGATATAAACATGATAACGAGTCGTAATGTTTAGAAAATTATAGGAATAATGATAAGTAGCAATAATTATGAACAAAATGATGATTAAAATATAACAAACACATATTAAACCTAAATATATTTTCTGGTCTTTAACATAAAATATTCAAATAAATAATACGCATTGTCACGAACGTTCGGAAGTGTCTACTCTTTTTCATTCTAGATTCGTCAGAAAATTTTTTGACAAAAATTTGGTTACCCACCAATTGTGGCCTCTTATAAAATAATATTTGATACTTGAATGCGTTACGAACAGTCGCGCACACACATTGACAAACACCATAAAACAATCCGTCTTACTCGAATATCGTAAATATACGCGAAATTCTGAAACGGGAATCGTTTCGATCGATGTCGCTCGTTCTAATACAAACACACGATCACCTTCGTGATTCTTCCTCAAAGTAAAAACGTATACAAAGCAAAGCAACCCCCGTGACATCAAAATGCGCCACTTATCAAATCCGTGCACAAAAAAAAGGTTAAACAACAAGTAGGGGGAACGAATGATAATACCAATTGGTATAATAAAATGGAATATTTCTTTTTATAGATAATTTTATAGAAATGCATACGCATGCATATGTTACCACGTACACGTGTATTAATATTTTCGATTAAAAAATGTTCTCCAACGACACATCGACGAAAATTTCTTCGACGAACTGCATGAAATTCATATATACATACGTAGAAAATTAGTGCGCGCGCGTGTGTGTGTATACGTGCGCGATAGAAACGTATGTGCCTACATTTGTTACAGAAATGTGTACGGATACATAATATGTACTTGAATACGATATGCATATACACACGTTTATATACCGTAACGCATACGTATAAATATACACGTATATATAATATAATTTAGCGATAGATAGATAGATAGATACAAAAGATCGTAAAACGTAAAATGTAGAGGACCGAGAAATTGGACACAAACTAATATTTTTTTTCAGATTTTCGCGAAACCGATGGCTGAAATATAAACTGTATCCAATCGGAGCAGATGAGAATGTCGGAAACTTACTTTGTAGGTTCGGTGCCCGAAGAATATTTCAGTCTAGACGAAGATATTTCGTTGGCGCACAGAACGGGCAGAGCGAGTACCGCTCCGCTGGTGGGCTATTCCCGCGAGCGGCGCTACTCCCCCGGATTTGGAGGGCACGGTGCTGCTGATGCGCTCATCGAGATCCGGTTCACAGTTGTACGTACGAAAAGACCCTTTCACATTTCAGAATGAATGGTAAGTAGTGAAAAATAATAACAGTTCGACATTAAATAACTCCTGTGGAAAATAATAATCATAAACAGGAAAAATTTCAGACGATTGATAAATAAGTTGTTCGAGTATAATTTATATTCAGAACTTGACGATTATACGTTTTGTAGACACATCCGTAAAATGGAGAATTACTGTTAGACTTGTATTTAACGCATACAAATGTTCCATAAATACTAATACAGTAAACTCCTGCATAATGCGATAAACAAATTGCAATAACCCTTCCACAACGCGGTACATAATCCAACAACTACTAGACACTGTACTTTCTCTCTCTCTCTCTCTCTCTCTCTCTCTCTCTCTCTCTCCCTCTTTCTCGCGTCGCGCACGCCCACAAACATACACAATCCTTGTTTGTATCAGCCGGAGTCTCGTATAACGTAGGTACACAGGCTTTCTAGCGAAAAAATTAGCCGAAAACAAGTATTAGAGTTTGGGAAATGTTGGAAATTTTGTTTCTGTTGTCATCATACAAAATTGCGTGGACTAAAACTTTTTAATGTTTCTCTTTTTCTATTTTCTCTCTAATATTCAATTTTATTGTGTACCATCGTTATAATATAATAGAACATGTAAATAAAGTAATAATGCTGATAGAAAACAAATTAACCAGAAAGACAACTCCAATTGGTATAACAACATTTCCATCTTAGAAATATTTAAAAGTAAAGCACAATACGATTAAAACTTAGCCTGGCCATATGGGAACATTTCGAATTTGCACAATTTAGTTTCAAACACCGCTATAATGTTTTTATCAATTCTTCGGTTAACAGGTTATTCTACTGTCGATTTTTATAAATGGAAACTCAGATAGAAGCAATAATTTGTAAGGAGGTGCATTAATCAAATCGAATTTTTGAATTTCATTTTTTAGATTACATTTTTTTAAAAACGGACCTTTATTAAAAAATTTCATTTCCACTTTCCACTGTCGATTCGTATAAATATAAACATAAAATAAAATAATTTAACATTGACAATAGATTTTCTATTACAGTCACAATTTACTGCTTAATTTCTGTTTACAAGTACCTACAACCATAATCAAAATTTGATTTATAATTATTATTCAGACACTCGAAAAGTCTCTCCTAAAGTTAACTGTATAAAGAAATTCGAAAATATTTATCAAGAATGAAATTCAGTGCAATATTAAATTCTATTTACTGACAAAACATTCGAGTAAACAAAACAACATTCTTATTGATGAATTTTTAACAATCTTAATAGTAAAATGATTACAATAAAAGGTATTTTATAAAAAACACTTTCAAAATTAAACGATTTTTTAAATCTGCGTTCCGAATAATAATTACCGATTACTCAAATGATTAACGATCAAATGCACCACTTACTTTTGTGTGTGACGTCTATATATCGAATATTTTAACTTGCATTTGCAATTCAATTATACAAAGCAATACAACAATTGATTTTTAAAGCAATCAGTGCATAATTTTTTTTAGTAAAAAATTTGTGCTGCATGTATTATAATGAACATTATTTCGGTACTTGCTTAATTTCTCCCTCTATACAATAAAATTTGTTTACTTGGGACTTGGAACTTATTTCGTTAAAATCGTCTTCCGAGAAAAAATATTATTATCTTCATGGGGTTTTTAAAGAGCTTGTATTATATTGCTTTTATCTGGTTATTATGTAATGTTTTTATTATATTTCTTTCTCATTAAAATAACTTTTTATTTATTTTCATGCATGAATAAGAAAATATGATATTGATAGCATAATAATAACAGTGTAACCACAAATTTACAATTTAAAAATTTGCGTTTCACGAGACAAAGTACTAAAGACGTCTTTTTAGTAATAATTTACTGATTGTATTGAGTAATATTATAAAAGAAATGGTACTTAGACGAAATGAAGAGGCAGGACATACTTTTTTTTTATGACAATACAATTGATTTTTATAACAAAATCATTATAAATTCGTTATAACTTTAGAATAATTTCTATGAAATAGTCTTCGTTTTCAAAATTAGACTTTCTTTAGTATTACAATGGCAATACAAAATAAAAGAATCTAAAAATATCACATAATGGTCGATAAATAAAATAATATATAACAAGATGATGAAATATTTCAGACTGGATAAGGTATGAGAAACTAAAAGGTCATGGATTTCATATGCGTTTTCCATACTTATCCATAATATAATTATACAATTATACGTTTTTTCTGTATTTAATTACGTAAGAAAAATACAAACATATTATTTGTAATTAAAAATAGAACGCTTAGTTATCGTTGCGAATATGTAGAATTAAATCTTGTGTTCCTGTGTTTTGAAATAGTAAAAATCTCTTTATCAATGACGATAATGGAGAAATATGAATTTTCCGGTATTAAGATTTAGAAATTATCGATCCATTGAAGGTGATACTACCTATGTAAATGTACGTATACGATTCTTATCTATAGAGTGCACTACATCTGTGCGTGTACAAGTGCGTGCTATTCTCTCGGGCGCACGTCTGCCCTTCAATGTGACAAGTTCGCCGGTATGTTTGCTAATATGTTTGTGCATGCATGCATCTGTTTCTTACTCTCGAGTTTATATTTACTTTAATATTCGAACACTATTGTTTGTACAAAAAAAAGTCACTACCGAATTAATTATAAATAAACAATACGACAAATAGCCGTTAATAAAATATTACTTTTTCTCATCCACATTCCACTTTAGACTACAAGTCAAAGAAAAAATTATTCATATTTTATAGACCAGTGATTCTTAACCTTTATTTTTCCATAAACCTCTTTTATCAGTCTAATGCAGCTCGTAAAACCCTCAGAACAGCATCCTTAAATATTAGTTAAATCGAATGTTTTCTAACCAGTATTGAGAATCTTGACTTATTCAGACATAACACACGAAACAAGATGACTTCCACAGATCATTCTACAAGATGGAGATAAATTTCCAAGAAAAATCAGAACCCTCAGACTTTTTTAGTATCAATTCTAGCAAATTTTTGGTTCTAAGATCAACGAGTTTATCCTTGATTAGGTCTATATATAAAAATAATCATTCAAGAGAATTCTGTAGTGTCCCCAGGTACTTGCAAGATTCGTTTCTTAAAAAGATATTGTTAATTAAATTTTGGATTTCAATTATCTCTTAGTAAAGTACAACCTTTCTACATAGTTATTTTTCTTGCTTTTCCATTAACAAAATTATTAATAATAAATTCAAAATCTATTTCATTTATCAATTATATATATATAATTGAATAAACTACAAAAGTTTAAGAGTCCCTTTAAAGTCTTTTTCTTTCAATAAAGAACTCTTCCATATCAATGAGACCATGATTATTATCTAATTGACTTATACTTATCAACCAATGGGTTTGAGAGAGTAAGACAGGCATATTTCTCAGCAAAACAATAATATTAATAAGAATGTAATTGAGATTACTTTTATTAGTTGACACGGTTATCAAAAATACTATGACATTTTAAAAGAAATATAAAAATGTCTCCCTTACGTTTGATTTTTAAATTATCTTTATATTTTTCAGAAGGAAAATTTGAACTCGCATGTCACATTGGAGATGACAATACAAGTTTGCTATAAATTTTGTACGTCGTCTCTAAAGTAACAACAATAATCATTCGCTATTGTGACATCATATTTCTCAATCAATTATATTTATTTACTACTTTAGGAGCCCTATATTTATGTAGATAACAAATCGTTTCACTTTGATGAAAATTTCTGAATAGTGGGAAAAAAAAAGAATATTGAATTTAGTTTTTCTTTTACACATGAAGCACACGTATGCATCTAGAAACTACATACAATAATTACTATGCATTTTTTCTTTTTTGATCTATTCAGTATTATGCAATTTGTCACCACATATAATACATGTCATGTATAATGTGTAATGCTTAACCCTAAACTGAATGTTGAAGATATTTAATGATGAATTTGAATGTACTATTAAGGGTGGAAGGATCAAGGAAGGGATTATAGTACCGGTGGCGAAGAAAGGGGGCGGGAAGAGGGTGCAGGGTGGAAGGATCATATCTTTATGAAATGTACGAAAGATATCTTTTCCTGCAAATTCGGGAACGGTTTAAGAATTACCATACTTAACAAAATTATATAATAATAAATTAAAACGGAAACAATAAATTTTCCTGTTGTATATAATCTAATCAACTTTGCCTAAAAATAAATACAATATTATGAAAGAAACGAGTTCAAAGAGTTTAAAGATACTTATTTCAAAAATTCATTTTATTTTAATAGTAGAACAATATTTTAACATGTTGAATGCTATGTTAATTCCCAGTCTACAGACACTGTCGTCACAGCCTACTCTAGTATGTACGAGTCATGCTGTAACTCACAATCAAAACGAAAGAATCATGACCGTGATAGTGATTTTGCGATCACTGTGATAAATAACGGTTTGCAGCGACATTGCCGCCCTTCCTTATCTACGGGAGAGTTCGAAGTTAGTTCCCAACGCTCTCGCTATTCGCGATACATACTTCATGACTGAGACGTTGTACAAAAGAGAAACCAAAGAGTATTATATATTTTATGTAATAAAGTTTATTATAAAAAATATTTGTGCCTACCTTATTAACAGAAAATATCATTAAATTTTTTCTTGTATTTATTTCTTTAAGGTGTCATAACTTTTATTCGTATTTTACTAAGGCGGAAAAAAAATAGTAGTGTTATTCACTAAACTTCATGTAACGTCAAGTTTCTTCGCTTAAAGTTACATGTCAAGAATGATTTCCAATCAAAAAATCTTGCAAAAATCTTGTGGCTTTTTAAGATATTTACATTTAAAGTATCAATTATTATTCATATGAGATTGAAGATTTGGCCTGTTGTCGAGTGAATCATAATTTAATTGTTAACAGATGTTTAGGTTAGAGAAGACTCGAGAA